ATTTTACACTAAAAAAGGATAGTTACAGTTTATACGATCTAACTTGGGCCAGCACAAAACATTCCCCATCCCCCAGTGAGATGTTCTGTGGTCTTTATGTATCTGTATATGTATGTCTTTATGTATCTTAATAGAAAAATATGATTTTGGTAATAAAAACTTTTCATTTCTTAAAGATCAGATTCAACTGAAAGATCGTTAATTATAAAGCTGTTATTTTACGTATTGAAACAATTAGCTTTCCAGTAATAAACGGGCATGTTTCTTAAGAGAACATAACATTTTAACAAAATATCATATAAGGACAGGGTTATTGATTGAACTTTGGCCACCCCGTTTTTGCAACTTACGGCGCTGCAAGCGTACAATATGAAATAAATGAATGAAATGCCGTACTTTTTATTGCATATTCGAACTTACGCAAAATTTTAGGCCTATTTGATATAAATGTTGTATACCGAGTGTAATGTTTTTGAGTTAATAACCACTTTTGATCAAACTTTGGCCACTTAGCCTGGGTTAGGGCCTAGTTCCACTAATAACCTCTTTTCGTAGAAAACTTGCGAAACGCTAATCGAGTTAGTTGGTCGTCATCTTTATGACGAAAGTCTCGTCCACTTAAAATTCTATTAACCTTAGACATATAGCCAAATAGAATGACATTTGTGCACACTTTGTACATTAGGTATGTATTCGCTTGATGTTCAGCACAGAATACATACCCAATATCCTCTTCTGTGCACAAATGGTCAATAATTTTCTTCTTGATTCCATAAGATGTTATGAATTTAGGAAGCAGGAAGAAAATAACATTAGCTATATGTCTACAGGCTGTAAAAAATTTAGTGGACGGATAGATCAGATGTCTTCCCCTCATAATATACTCGCGATGTTTTATGAGTATATTATGAGGCTCATCTTCCAACGACTCTATTATTTTGCGACAGTTGCTGCATTCCACTTGGGATAAAATTTTTCTTGCAACAACCCCAGCAACATACGGAGTGGCGAAAGGTGTAAATAGAAATGCCGATCTTTCGAGCAGGAACTTGAAGCTGCGTTATCGATTTTTTTGCAAATGGACTGAAAAATGTTAATTAAAAAAATGATTTGAGGGCAAAGTGGGAAAAAACAACAGGTTATCAAAAACTAATTATTTAATTTAAAACTAGACAATCAATCATAATACAAAAATTATTATGAAAATTATAAAAACATAATATTAAGGAAAATTTTATACAAATCCTAGTTAAGTACTAAATGCGTGTGAAGAACCCCGCATTTCCGCTGTAGACGCGACTTATTCAGATCGGGTTTGTGAAAAAATGCAAAAAACCTGCCAAGTCAAATTACAATTTAACAATATGTACATCAGAAAATTTCGTCAATGTTAGAATTACTATTATTTAGCTGTAAAAATACTAAATGTGTAACAAATACTAATAATGTCCTGTAAAAAGTTTAAAAGGCAACATCATGGACGGCTTATCGGAAATAAATCTAATACCACATTTCTCTAAAATTACAGACCTGATACTACCTAACTCTAACAATGCGCACATACAGAGCCAGTATTCCATATCGACAATATTCAATAAATTTCAATTGCCCGTGGCAATAAACCAATTTTTTCTTTACTCACATACACACTTTAACACCCTGTAACTATTAATAAAAATAACAATCTAAATATGATGAATAATACCAAAATATCGGAGTATTTGTAAACGATTAAATAACAGGCAATGAAAAATTATATACCTGAAAACAATATTGCGTGTAACAATCAACGTATGAAAAAACCCTGATCTTGAAATTTCGCACGCTTAAAGAAAAACAATTTCAACTTTCGTTCGAGTGACTTTTCTAGAAATTACTTAAGTTCCTAAGACATAAGGCACAATAACTGTTGCAGATTTTGATTGAATCGCCCGAAAATATTTCCAATTTTTAACACATAATTTCCAAACCGCGTTTTTATACACTAAATACTCAATAATTTGTATGTTTGGAGCCTCTCATAAGCGGTACGAGTAGCGCTGGGGGGCCCGCTTGTCTCAAAAATGGGTGTGAGAGGAGCTCTTGAGCTGAGGCTCTTTGAGCAGGATCTCTCACTAACATTCTATCCAAAAAGGATTGAAGTTTAGGCGATACTTTGTGGGCATTTTTCAGTTTGGGCGGCGGCATTTCCCGAATGCGCCTCATGGCTTGCAGAGGCGGCTCATTGAAGAAGGGCGGCTCCCCATCTACCATTTCGATTGTCATGATTCCCAGCGACCAAATGTCGACTTCTGGGCCGTACGGTAGTCGGGAAATCACTTCCGGAGACATCCAGTAAGGGGTGCCTACCAAAGACTTTCTTTTGGGGAGTTCTTGGGACACTTGCGCGCAAAACCCGAAGTCCGATAGCTTGACTCTTCCGTCCAGGGAAAGTAGAATGGAATCGGACTTAATATCTCGGTGAATGACGCCCTGCGAGTGCAAATACGCCAAAGCCTTTAGGCACTGTTTGCACACAGTGGCGATTTGTTCCTCGTCCATCCTCGAATGAGTGACAATGTCTGTTAAGGCGCCGCCTTCTAAAAACTCCATCACCACCCATAGTTCGTCGTTCACCAAGTAACTGTTGAACATTTCCACGATATTGGGATGGTGATAGTCGCGCATAATAACCACTTCGTTGAACAGAAGTTCACGGCGCTGCTGTTTTCTGAGATCCATTTTTTTCACCGCTACCTGCCGTCCGGTGCTCCGGTCTTGAGCTATGCAAACTGTTCCTGTTGATCCTTCCCCGATTTTCACGAATCTTTCCAGGTTTTCTCGCGGGTCTTTCGATGATACAACCATTTGAAGCGCTGCTCTAAACTGGAAGAGAAAATACATTTTGTGATGTGGGGATAGTTGGAATAGCCTGAAGGTTTACAACAGAATACATTTGCGTTTTGTCACTTAATTGATCAAAGTTTGTTGACTGGTTCGTTAGTTTTCCCCAATTTTTCTATAAAATCTACTTTTGAAAATGTACGTTTTTAAGAATGATTATCCCTTCACTCAATCACTAGCTATATTCGATGCTTACCTGCTCATGGGTGAGCCTTTGCTCGTGATGTTTAGAAGACGAACTGTGTCCGCTTGATGTAGATGGATGTCCCCCAATATAAGGATGGCTTGCAGCATTCCCGTTCTTAACATTCTGGTTTAAATCCGGCCTGGTTTGCGGTGGAGGGATGTTTGGATGTTGCACTTGATGCGGATGGATGGCTGGATGGTTTCCTGCAGTGGAATGAGCCACTGAAGGAGCCACAGACGCAACTGATCCAACTGGAGAAATCTGCACATGATCCAGTCCCTTCATTGGGTAGTTGGGGTTGTTCAAAGCTGCTGGATTATCAGCCATATTCCCATTGGCCACATGTTGGTTTAAATAGGGCGCTTGCATTTCCTGATTGCTCAAGCTCATCGGCGATCCTTCTCTGACCTGCGGTTTGCTGATACTTGGTTCTCTTCGAATTGAGGGGTATTGCAATATATGCTCTTCAGGCACTGAAGGTGGCACGTTCGCATTGTTCCTATGCTCCCTTCGTAGTCGCGGCGGACTGGAAGATCTGAGTGAATTCGATCTGGCCACATTGGAGGTTTTTGGCAGCATAATTCCATTCTGCGGAGGCTTCTGCACCTGATGTGTACTGAGTCTACTCTCAGACTTATGATCACCCCTGACAATGGTCTTCAGATCTAAAATCTCCGTGGGAGTGATCTCGGAAGGATCGACCAGCGGTAAGGGCCGATTAGTGGACTTAAGAATCTGATTGTTGCCCACAATTGAGGCCCATTGCAACGGCAGGCCCACATACTTGCCCTCGCTCTTATCGAAGCCTGTGTGGACGCGATGCTCGAAATTAATCGGGGGTGAAATCTGCGGTTTCTTTTTCTTCTTCGAGAACATCGTTTCGTCGATTTACTGCCCCTGATTTGGTGCTTATAAACAATTTACCCGTTATAAATTCCTAAGAACGTCAACAATACACATTCTGCAACATAACCCTATTTGGGGATGTTTTCAATTTTCGCCATCAGCACTCACTTATGAATAACTGTTAGGGCTACAAAGGGGGTTCGTTGTGGCCCCTCAAAGGCTCCGGATGGAATGCGATATAAACAATGTCCCCGATAAAAATGTAAATAACTCTAAAAAAGGCGAGGTCACAACGAGGTCAACTGATAGAGTTGTACGCATGTTGTACGAGACATAGATAAAGACGAGTACGAGACGTTCTTCTCCTTCTTCTTTTCTTCTCTTTGGCCCTGCTTAGGAGAAATTGGCAGAGAGGGTCCAGAGTTAGACAAGGATAAAAGTTTCTTTTGGTGATGTTTACTGACCAAATTAGCTAAAAGCTTTTTTTAACCCTTTGGTATTGGAATTGAAACAATGAATTAAAATTTTATTAGCCATTTTTTCTCAAAATCCTGCCTATGTTATCGCTTTTGGTCGATATTTTACACATGAACTGGCGTTTTTTGATTCCGAAACTTGGCAGCACTGGTTGAAAGGTTAGAGAGAAAGTAAAAAAAATCGGGTGATTTGTCAGAAATGTATCAAAATTATTTATTTGTTCGCCTCCGTTAATAAACACCGTATTAACCAGAACTTTCACACCGCTTTCCATCCAGTGCTATGATCTATGATCCATTCGATCTTAATCTATGTTCTCATGTACATCGGCCTCAAGTCGCAGTTCCTCTCACAGTTATTTAGATAGTCAAAGTCAATTACGGTTTTATTAATAAAGCCTCTTGCTTTTTTTATGTGCTTTAATCGAGTAGTGTTTACAAAGTGTGCAAAATGAGGGTATTCAAGGACCGAATCCTGTCGGACTCGCAATTGAGGAGACTGGGAGAGCACCAGTACTCCTGCCAAAGTGTCAGCATTTGTGATAAAATGCTGCAGCCCTACTGGAATTGGCTGGTGCAGAAAGTTCCTGTCTGGTTCGCCCCCAATCTTCTGACCATCATGGGGCTTGTTGTCAATATTTTCACTGCCCTCGTTCTGGTTGGGTAAGTCGAGAACCCAATCAATTGCAATTCACCAAAGTCTTCGAATAAAAAACTGTTGTATCAAATGCAACTAAGTTTTTCACCTACTCAACCTTTCACTGCTCTGATAATCCCGCCAAAGTTTTACTGTTCTTCAACTTGTCTGGGCAATTCTTTATCATTGCATTGTCCATTATCATTCTAATTTCCCGTTTTGTCTTTGCAGGTTTTCACCGGATGCCAAACAAGAGCCACCCAGATGGAGCTGCGCCCTCTGCGCCATTGGCCTATTCGTCTACCAAAGTCTGGACGCAATTGATGGAAAACAAGCGCGCAGAACTGGATCAGCCAACCCATTGGGGGAACTTTTCGATCATGGATGCGACTCATTATCCACCGTATTTGTGGCTGTTTCAGCTTGCACAGCTGTGCAATTGGGCAACTATCCAGCCTGGATGTTTTTCCAAGTAATAACTTGATGAGCCTGGAGTTCGTTTTCTTGATAAAACCGCATTTTTTCTTATTGTTTTAGTGTTTTTGCGCAATGTCGCTCTTCTACTGCGCCCATTGGCAAACGTACGTATCTGGAACACTGCGTTTTGGAAAAGTCGATGTCACCGAAGCCCAAATCACTATAATGAGCATCCTGTTGATTTCCGCCATTTTTGGCCCCAGCATTTGGTCGATTAAGGTAAGAACTGTCCAGGACGATGCGATTTACTGCCTAACTGAAAGTCAATTGATCAGAATAACTATATTAGGAATTGGGTAAATATTGAGTATTTGCTACACTATGATTCGATTCATGTCCTTACATGCAACTTCTAACAGTTCTTTAGAGACAGTATCAGTCTCTGGTTCTCGATTGCGCTAAGTACTTTGGTTTGCGGCCTCTGGTCCTTTTACCGATGTTTCGACGTTATTTTCACGGGAGGAGTGGGCAAGAACGGATCGACGGTTGCAGTAAGTTTGAGCGTCGATTCCGATTTGCTTTTCTGGTTTCAAAGCATGAGCTGGTCGCTAACCGATTTGTGACGTTCCCTTATTGGGTTCCATAGTAGAATGTATCCGAATCCTGGTCGCTCCATTAATATTAATGGGTGAATCCTTTAAGATCAAGCATGGGATTGGGTGGCACCTTCATGATCATCCTTAACCGGTCTTATCTTTAACAATGTTGAGTTTAACGACTGCACCTTGAATGCATCGAACTTTGCACTCCGGTGCTAAAACAAGTACATTTCCCTTTTCCTTTTCTGGTTTTCAGTACACCTGATTGAGTATCCGAACTTACAGGCTTGAAGTTGATTTGTATGTTTAGTTTTTGTGTAGGTGATGGGATGGCAGGTTCTCTGGAGCAATAGAAACGAAGTGCGACTGTAATGATTAGATTTTCCGCCCGGGATCCATTCGGGGCAAATCCACAGAGGAAATGATTCTTGTAATGTTGCAGGTCTTTGGATACACCGCCCTCGAGTACGTGTGCGTCCTGTTTCCGATTGCGTTCACTTTTGTGTTCAGCGCGTTTGCAAGTCGCTTGAAAAAGGGAGGTAAAAGACAGAATGGATCCACTGTTGCCGTAAGATTCCATAACTTGCCAGCTAGCTTTTGCCCATTTTTTTTCCGGCGCTAGTCAAGATGTTTGTTCAGCTTATCAACGCGCATTTGGCGTCAATTGCCCAACAGTTTATGAGGGCATATATTTGCTGTTTACGCACAAGTAGAGCGTGACTGTTTTAATTATTTTATGCTAATGGGTTTTTGAAAGTCGTCATTTTTATTTCACACGGTTTTCCACTTTAAGGTCAGAAAAAAAGGTGGTTTTCTGACTTTGTTAATCATCACTGGAAAGTGTGTTCGCACAAGAAACATTACCCAGAAAAAGTGTTCGTAAAGGCATTCACGCCAGCAAGCAGGAGTTAACGAAAAGCCTCAAAGCTGCGTTCCAGACTTTCGCAACTTCAAGCGTTTTTTTTTTGGAGATTATCGGACCAATCGGTTTTTTTAGTTTAGGTTTAGACTAATTTTGGAGCTGGATAAATTCTGTTTGGTAACATCAATTTGATTTCTGTTTGAAGCGTTATTTGGTGCAATTATTTTTCGGTTAGTGCGTGTTTTTGCCAAATATTGGTTTGGTGGATTTGCCAAAACTTGGTGGTTCAGATAAAATTTCTACATGGGGCGAATGAAACAATGCAAATTTTTTTAATGTTTCACATGCTCTCACTTGTACAAAAACCCGTTTTTTTTTTGTATTTCAACACCAGAGGCATGCAAATAGACTTTGTATCTCGAAAAACGTTGAATTTTTCGACCCTCCCGTTTTTTTTTTCAGAGTTGTTTTGGAAAAATCAACTTTTTGGTCTTGTAGTGATGCATTTTTCTCTTGAACCGATTTTTAAAATATAGGGCTCACGTTGAAGCTGAAACTATACAGTGGACTTGCGAAAAAAATTCAATATACCGAGTTGCATGAATGAACGAGATATTTTAAAGTAAATTTCATTTGGCTGAAAATCTTCCAGAATCACTGGTTTGGTTGAATTTTTATGCAACAACGTATATTGAATTTTCGTCTTAAATTGTCTATCAAATTTAAGCTTCAACATGTGCTGTAGATCGCGAAATTCGGACTAGGATCAGAAAAGTTATCGTTGCAAGACCAAAAAGTTGTTTTTTGAGACCACCCTTTTGAGTGGTTAATTTTGGTGTAACTAGGGCAGATGACCGAAAAAATTAAAACCGTTTTGAGCTACGTGGTTTATCTTTAAACTTTTGGTGTTGAGACCGAATAAACACTTTTTTGTCTAACTAGAAGCATGCAGAATTTTGCGAAAATTTTCCGCCCCGTAGAAAATTTATCTGAGGTGCTTAATTTCTGCGAAAACACTGACCAACGAAAAGCAAATGGGGCGAAATAACGCTTCAAACAAGCCAAACCGCTCTAAGCACTCAGAATTTATCCGCTTCCAAAGTTAGGGCAAAATTGGCTGTGTAACGTTCAATTTGTTGAGCAGTTTATATGCAGTTTCCGCCCTTATAAGTAAATGATTTTGCACTTTAGCATTAGGTTTTTATTCGATGTTAATAAGGCTGAGTGCTTTTTTCAAGTTTGGTTCAAAAAAGGTTTTGTTTCGGCAAAAAGTATACCTGAAGGAACTTTGGTGTCCTGAAGAAGTCAATAAAGGAACTGAGCGCAGATGAGAGTGATTGCTAGAAGAAGTTTGGTCTAAAATGTGTTTTTCGGATTCTAAGGAAGAAAGATTCCTTGTTTTCCCTGGTCTAACTAAGTCGTGAATTGTAAAACTTTTTGAGCTTCTTTTGACTAGCGTTCCTCCGGTTTCTGACTATTTTATTAGTTGTGTAAATCGAGAATTAATGTGAAATGAAACGCTGTTACTTGCCATGTGAGAGTAACTGCACTTGTTCAAGTTTCTGCCATAGAATAAGGTAGTTTTTTAATGAATTTTTCAACCACGTGCGCGTTTTTTTCTATGAAGCTCCCCACGCTGGATGTGGAGGTGAAGCTGATCCCGATCGCCATTGCGTGTGCAGTTGCACTGATACTGGCACAGGCCAATTTGACTGTTATTTTGGCCGGCGGCGTGGGCAAAAATGGATCTACAGTCGCGGTGAGCTCACATTGTCTAGTGTAACTCACATACTTCTAGAATATGCTGCACCTTTTCATACCAAAAGGTGCAAGATGACGTTCAAAAGTACTGTAGAAGTATGTGGTGCATGACGGGATTGTTACTTGATGTGTATAGTGTAGGCAACAGAGTGACAATACTTGAATAATCAAATGGAAATTAGCTATTTTCTTGAGGAATGGGGTCTTGTCTAGAATCTCGCTTCGATCGGTAGCGATTTGCAGCTAAATGGGTGTTGGCCTTTAATCTTAATTGGGCAAAATCGACATTTCCGTATATAAAAAATAACTATTTCCAATTGCTCCATAACAACCTGCCCGTGGTGATTGTAGAGTAACAGGAAAATGCATGTGAAGCTTTGCTTGGCTTTGATTTGTGGCGTGCCGGTAGATTAGCCGTTGATTTGGCGTTAATTGTCTAAAAACCACCACCTTGCAGGGCACCAGTGTTCTATCTCCAGTGATTCCAATCTTACTAGTCGTACTTCCAGCTTTCATAATTTACCAAAAGTCTGAACAAGCTCTCTATCAAACGCATCCAGTGTTATATATTTTCACGTTCGGACTGGTGGCTGCCAAAGTTACCAATCGATTAGTGGTAAGTTACTAAAGCCCGGCCTTTTTTGCCGTTTTTATATGCCAATTGTGACTAAGGTGGCGCACATGACTAAGAGCGACATGCAAATGTGGGACTATTCAATCGTCGGGCCTGCGATGCTGTTTTTCAATCAGTATTTCAACACTTTCATCAACGAGTATATTGTGTTGTGGATGGCTTTGGTAAGTTACGAATAATTTCTCTCAGAGTGCAACAGGTTAAAATGAAAAAACGCGCCTTAAACCCACTTTACCTTAGATTTGGGTCACAATGGATCTTCTGATCTACTGCTACAGAGTGTGTCATGAGATCTGCGCATTTCTGAGGGTCGAGCTGTTCCGAATACCGTATCCAGGTGGGCCTGTGGGACCGTACGACGCGGCCTCAGAAAAAAACGGTACGAAATCGCATAATAAAACTAAACCTCGAAGTAGCGCTAAAGCTTTACGGCCTCAGTGAGGTTCAATTGATGAATCCGTAGCGCCAGTCAATGAATCATCCAGCTAGGCTCATTTTTCCAAAGCTCCGAATCTGCTTTTCTGTTTTTTTTTGAGCTGGCTAGTGCCAAAGAACCTACACTGTTTCTAGGGAAAATTGTTTTCAGCAATTTCCGCTTGATTATTAAATCTGCTAACTCATTCGCTCCCAACTTCTACACTAATGGTGAATGGTTGGCTCGTTTTTATTATGTATTCATTTTTCATATGGAGGTTTAGTGTTAGAAGCATTACCACAAAGGTGTATCATGTTGTCACATATAAAAACCATTTATTTATTAAAAGCTAGCTGTAGATGTGGAGTCGTTATGTGTGATTTATCTACTTAGAGATTAAGATCGTGTTAATTTTGGTGGATTGATTGATTGAACACTGATTGTTAGAATGTACAGTTTGATAGATAAATAACTGAACTGGTTAGTTTGTAGTTTATTGACCCTTTTGTGCGTCAGGTAAAACCTAAAACTATGTATCAGCGCCGATTAGAAGTCGAAATAAAAAACTAATATAATTGTTTAAAGATAATTGAAATGCGCTACAGGAACACTGCTTTTTTCAGATGAAGATGTTACCTCAGCACTACTTCAAAAGGAGGAACTATGATGTCTTTTTCGGTAGGTTCCCAACCAGTATTCACTTCACTCGAATGTTATTTATTATTTTTTTCAATAAAATGAGGTTTTTGCGGACACTAAACAGACTAAACCATGCGGCGTTAATACCTTTATTAAAATGTTTAAGATCAAAAATAACATACCTACAACATCTTTGGCGAACCACTCATTCCGCCCAGAATACATTTCAAATTTTGTTAACATCCATTTTACATTCAATAGTTTATTGTAAAATTCGCATAAATTAAATTACACATTCACCGATCTTCAATCGATCAATAATGGTATACTTCAGAGTGATACAGATACTCTTCAAGTTAATACTGTTCGTATATCACTCTGAGTAAAGTCTAAGCTCTATATTTGGTGTTATCAATCTTATAGTTCGTAAAAAATTGCAAAACGGTCCAGCCAGGGAAATGCACTCAACGTTGCATTTTAAGGGCGTTTCCTGGATCTTTTGCACTAAATAAACCACAAGCTACTTACGCCCAATATCTACTAATGAAGTCGAAATTATTGTGCAATAAAGGAAAATACTGTGTACAAATACGATTCTTTTTTAAAAATGGCGAAAAAAAGAACTCCTAAAAATAGTTCTTCATAGTAATATATATAATCCTTATAATATTCAAGGTAAATGTTTTTATAAAAGTTAAAAAGAAATTTATTAAAATACATATAAATGCATATGCGTTTTTTGGAATGCAAAACTTTTAACAATATATTCGTTAAAAAATTTGGTCTCTCTTACAAGCTAATAATAATTAAAATATGTTACGGAAAATAAGTTAAGTCGATTAATAAAATTAATACTATTTACAGTAAATCAGCGAAAACATTCGGCTATTATCTACACATGGAGCTCCAAGGAGACAAATTTCCGGTAAATGCAATACAATCACCTAACTTTAAACACACAGTATATAATCTGAGCACCAGCAGAATGCTTTGGTTTATGGCACATGGGAAATAATAAACTGCTGGTGCACCAGTACAGACAGACTTCCAATTTCACATTCTGCTAAAGCTACGAAACGAAGTCAACTCGTCACGCCTAAACACTGCTTTACTACATCCATTGCGTTTGACCTTTGGTTAATGAACACAACTTTTCTACTCTCTCTTGGTATACATTTAGAAAAAACTAGTCTTTGCAGACCTAGCCAGTCTTTCGAAGTTAATTTGGCGATGAACAGGTTTTAGCATCTACAGAAGCTGTTGGTATTAAGAAAAACGTCCATAAATGCGAAAACTTTCATACATCAGCTGGTTTTTACAAGACTTGTTCGTCATTTATTCAACTTACAGCCGAAGATAATAGAACTATGCTTCAAACGTAATTTATTATGTCTTCCAGGTACGCGCGATTTTAATCTTAATAATACCGAGAACAATGGAAATTCTTGGTAAAGGTATGTACCGTGATATTTGATCAATTAAAAAAACACCCACAAGTTTAAGATCACACCAACATCAATAGTTTACGGTACAAACATTTTCCCCGCGGGAGAATATTAAATTGCTCAAAGAATCGAAAATCTAACTTTGTGGCCGACCCTGCATGAAATACCAAAAATGTGAACTAAATTTGCTTAAACGAAAAACCAACCAGAGAAAAACGCAATACTCTAAACTGTTCGACAAAAGGGCCACACTTAAGTTTAATAAGCGTATCATTTTTTTTTCTAATACAAATTGCTGCCATTTCAAATGCGTTTCCCCGCGCTAACAAATTCCCGCAAATTTTCTTGCATCTGCAAGCAGATTCTTTGGAGGTGCACACTTTTTAAGCTGGTGGTAGAATAGTAGTTTGAAAATTAATTCAGGAAAATTCTACCGCCGGTTTAGTGGTTATATCCCCCGTCAAAGAATCGCCCAGCATAAAACAGTTTGAGCAATGTGCTGCTGAAATAATCAGTAATGTACCTAAAAATCAGTAAAAGACGCCTATTTAGGTATGTGGGTTTTTAGGTCAATAGATGGTGGCAAAAATAAAACACAATTTTTTTTATGGGCCGATGTTCGATGTCGGTAGGTAGGTAGGTGTAGTAGACTCTCACAGTCTAAAAATACACCTACCTCGAACGGTACCCTTTCTGCACATTTGGTGGAAATATGGCACTAACTTCATAGAGCCCTGAGGATGACTTAAATATAGTGGAAAAGTGGGTTTTATTTTTGCCACCATCTATTGACCGAAAAACCCACAAACCCAAATAGGCGTATTTTACTGATTATCGTCACGGTCACTAATTAACCACAGTACCTAAAAATATTCAGTCTAATAAGTGAAACGAATCAACGAAACCGAAATCAAACAACATTTGGTAAGCAGCAGCAATCAGGTGGTAGTGGTAAGTCTTGCAAATTCCTTAACGTAATTATATGCGCGGTTTGTACGTGAGAGTCACACATATTGTTTCCTTGGTTTTGGCCGGTTCTGGTCCGAGCGAATCCTCTTTGCTGCCCGCCGCAACCAAGAAACAATTCCTGAACTGATCGGTTAACTTACCATCGTCCCCATTCGTCCCGGTTTCGATCGGGCACGAGCACAACTCGGTCTTGTTCTTGAAGCTGCACGATCTGGATATGTTCTCGTATTTAATTTTGAAGCTATTCGAGCGCGAGCTGGACCCTCGTCGTTCGCTCCGTCCTTTGAAACTGGTTGCATAATAAAAATTAACTCAGACCGGCTCTATGCATGTCACGCATGGGTGTGTTTAGTACCTGCTGGAGCGAGACCCATTTTCCTTATTGTTTCTCCTGCTGGCGGACCGCTGAACGTATCGCTTATCTCGGGAATTGGCGCGTTTTACGCTGGGTCGTTTCTGGATAGACTCGGCGCTTAGAGACAATCCGGCCACTCCCACTAAACAACCCATATTCAGAATTGTAACCACAAAAAAACCAGGAAACTTACCAATAGTCCCTGATGAAGACCGCCGCAGGAGCGCATTGGTAAGCACAGAAACGTCGGCTTTATTGAGGGGAAGATCCAACGAGCCGCCGCAACTTTCGCAGTCTACAGACGGGCCGAGAAACCATTGCGATCGGGTTTTCATTCGCTCTGTTTGCCGCTCGTGCACCTTTAAATCAACCACATTCTGAAACCAGTGATAAAACAGTGCAAAATACTACCTGGGGTAAGTAGCTGAGACTTCTAGTGCTTTCCGCGTAGGTGTTCACAGCTTTGAGCTCTTCCAAAGTCATTTTCGGGCCGGAACAGACATTGTGACTGTACTTCGATGAATGGCTGGTGCTTGAAGAATGAGAGGTGTTGTTCTGGAAAAGCCCATTCTGTTCCAGAGAGATGGAGAGTCTGGTGCAGGATTCTAGAAGCGTGTGCTCGGCTATCATGCCCAAGGAGGAGGAGCTAACTTGGGGCTGCAGTCCGGCCTCGAGAAGAGCGGGTCTCGACTGGCATTCTTCCCCTTGCGACAGCGCTATAAAAGCGACAAGAATCAATCAGACACCGCCAAACTGAGGCAGGTTTTATGAATTCAACGTGCTACATACCTGCCAGCTGCTCAATCTAATAACTAAAGTGCGATTCGGGCTGTTACTTCAACACTAAGCTCCGTTCGAAAGCCATGCAAATTGTACAGTTAAACGCAAGTATAATCATAAACAGCCTCAAAAGGTACGTATTAATCAATAACCAATCAAACTCAGCCCGTTCAGTCACCCCAACATTTTCGAAATATTCCTTTAAATTGTTACAATTTTTTTTTCATTAAAACCCATTAATCTTTTAGGTGTATAGAAGTAAAAATAAAAACGATCACAAAATAAAACTGCCAACACTCATGCCATTAATTAAAACAGAAGACAATTTATTAAACGTTCCTTTGCACTAATGAAAAATATCACAGAATGGTAATGTAATGCGTACAGGAAACGGACTTTAATGTTATATTTACAAATATTAAATAAACTAAATACTAACTACATATCTATGCAATAAAAGAAGAAACATTGGGAGAATGAAGGAAAATAACTGTTCGAATGCAAATAGGCAAGCAAAAGCAGCTTTTCCGCCAATTTTGATTTTTTTTTTTGATTAATTCGGCCTAAAAAAATATACAATCGTTTATTGACATTTTTAACACAAAACTACCAAAGACAGGATTTGTTAATGTAAAATAAGTAGCACAGTGGTTTTTGCCTGTCAGGATGCCACGTTTTCAGCAAACAAACGAGTTATTTTGTAAGATTTGAACATACAATTTGGAAATTTGCATATTTGATTGCATCCGAGTAGTTTTCTTTTGTGCTACTGTTTGAATCTGTATCGAACGTTCCATGGAGTTTTGGACGTTAAATACCTGATTAAAATAATGCCTCTTGTGTGTGAAACACTTTGTCTGTTTGCGGCGGTATAAGTTAGTACTTGGGAATTTTGCTTGATTTTTCTGCTGGTTACAAGAGAAACTAGACAATTTTAATTTTTGTTGAGTCGAATGTTGCTTTTTATTGTACTGGACAAAAAAGCAAAATAATTGTCCACGTTTTTGCTTTTTGATCCAGTCCCAACGCTACGGGAAAAGTGTGCAAAAAGGTCCGAAATATGCATTTTCCCAAAATCACACAATTGATACAAATAGCAAAATTCTGAGACATTCGGTACACTAAAAATGCTCCTTCAACACATGAACCGAGAAAAACATCCAACTAATACCTACAGTAATGTATGCGCTAAAAATCCTCAAAATAATCTACTCGAGCTCCTAGTTGCATTAAATTTTCAAACAAAAGCTGTTGTGGTCTATAAGAAAAAGCCATTCAAAGGAATGTTTTTAGCAGCCACAAAACATGTCGAGGCTCAAACGGTATTATTTGCATTAAGGAAATCGTCAGTTGCAGGAAGATTAGTGTCCATTGTACGATTACCTTCCATGTAGCCCCCATATCTATCGTAGTTCTCGCACAGTAACCACGTTTCCTTGCCCATCGATAAGTGTCCTTTTTGATGCAAATGAGGGAATGGGAGAGGAATTAGTACGGTTAGATGTATGCACAGGCGATGATTAGGGGTAGTGGTAGTTTAGAAAATTCTACTCAACCGAACAGAGAGTGAAAAGCCGGTACTCACCTAGTAGATATCGTTCCAAAGCCATGTACTCATTCGGGAACATTCCCTTCGTAGGAGGATACTGGAAGGAGCAAATCCACTCGCCTTGCACTCGCAGCACTCGGCCAGTAACTCGCGCATAATACTCGTAATTGTCTTTGCCAAACAGGTTCGAGGAAGCAAACTCTTCGATCAGATGTTTCATCACTTTTGAAGCAACCTAAATCCGGACAAATTCATCATCATCAATCCACATTGCGCGCTGAAGAAATAATTCATGCGGTTTTAGAAGCAGGCGTGTTTCTTTCCTCTAGGTGGAACATGCAAATACTTGTTAGGGGTGGAGAAGTAGAGAGAAGAGAAGTGTTCAAACGCACAGCCGCAATAGAAAATGAGAGTCTACATAAATGAATTCTTGTGAATAGATATCAGTTGGAAAAACAAGGGAGATGATAAAATAGTGTGACCATAGTAAAATCTATAAAAAACTTACGTTCACTTCTGCCTGGAGAAGCGTTATACAGCAAAAGCAAAAAAATTAGTTTCTATACTTTCGATTAATTTCCGCAAAAAAATTGAACAAATTGGAACTTCCTACACAAAATCGCTTTGAAATTTCCCATATCTAATGGTGCCACCTCACTTATAAACAGTGCACAGTTAGTAAAACATTCTAAACTTTCTAGTAAAGCATCAATTTATATTTTCTGATTTTCAAACCAATTGAATCGTTTCAACTTATCGAGATCGACAGTGGCTTACCTTAAACTTCATCACATCCTCCATTCTGGCTGTTTTCCCATCACTGACACACGAATGGAAAAAACTGGGCGCCACACTAACGCCCAGCGCTTCGCTGGTCATTCCAGTGGCGGCTTTTTCGCTATTAGAGGCGATTACTCGAAATGTACCAAACAATAAGACTAACAGTCTTTGCGTATAAACCGGCAGGCTTGTAATTATTCTGAAAGAAAAAAAATCAATTTATTGTTAAAAAAATATAGTTGAGGGCGCATTCAAGCAAAAATACTGCATGGAAACTATTCAAAATTCACTGACATGTTGTTTAGGCAAAAATATTGGGTTCTACATCAAATTTGTGTTATGCAATAGTTGATGGCTTCCCCGCTACCGCGAGTCAAAGTGTAAAGAAAATTTTCGGTTGTTTTCGTAGATTCTTAACCAGTTTTACTATTATCAACGAAATGTCTGTTTGGATTTTTTTTGGATCGAGGAAGCCGAATTTTCTAGTTTTTTTACAGACTGGTGACATGAAAAACATGAGCTATTTTTGGGACGTTCTCTCAAAGTTTTTGAGCTAATTCACAATTTCTAGACAACTGAAATTGAATCTTTCAATACAAGAAATGTTCTGCTCGGATGTTCAATAAAACAAAACTTTGCAACACCAACGAAACATCTTATTCGATTCAAGTCTTCGACAATCATAGATGGTTTTCGGCTCTTTTGCAAGCAATAACATACAATTTTCCATCGATTAAGGTTCTTTTGTTATGAATTTGAAATGAATTTGTTATGAAAACGTTTTTCTATTATGCAAAGTCAGCGTTTGCAAACTAAGAACGACTTTAAGAAAAACTCTTATTGAATTCTAGTTTTCAACGATTATAGAGAATTTTTCCTCCTTTTTTTTCTTTTTTCAACGTGAGGAACCGGCTGTGTCCGACCAAATACATGTAAAAGCGCCTCTCTCACTGCGTTAGTTCCTGAATAAATAAATGCCAAACTACGGCCTGCCAAAACAGCCTCGTAAAGCAAACGCAATTTTGTAAAATTTTCAAAATGTTCCTGATGATGACTGGAAATCGAAACTTTGTTCACTTATCTAACGTACTTTTATCTACGAAATGCATTCAAAATTGACTTTCTCACATCTCAAGTTATAGAGAAAATCAATGACAAAGTCAGGCCTGCAAAACCACTACAAAAACCTAACGCGAAAACAATCTCATAAAGCAAAAGCAATTTTCAAAAATTCTTTAAAATTGCATGATGACTGAAAATCAAAACTTCTTCCACTTGAAGAACCGACTTTGCCCTACAAAATACATTCAAAATCACCTCTCTCACTTCGTTAGTTCCTGAATAAATAAATGCTAAACTCTGGCCTCGTAAAGCAAACGCAATTTTCAAAAATCGCAAACATTTCCTCATGATGACTGCAAATCGATACGTCGCCCACTTAGAGAACCTACTTTGCCCTACGAAATGCATCCAAAAGTGACTCTCACATCGCAAGTTACAGAGAAAATACATATTAAACTCCGGCCTGCAAAAACCACCAAGAAAACCTGACGGGATTTTGAAAATTCTTGAAAATTGCCTGACCATGACGGGAAATCAAAACGTCTTCCACCTGAAAAACCGACTTTGCCCTACAAGATACATTGAAAAGCAACTCTCTCACTTCGTTCGTTCTTGAATAAAGAAATGCCAAACTCCGGCCTGCAAAACAGCCTCGTAAAACAAACACAATTTTGACAAATTCTGAAAATTTTCTCGATGATGACAGGAAATCGAAACTTTGCCCAATCATAGAGCGTACTTTGCTCTACGAAATGCATCCAAAATTTAAGCGATATTTTAATACCCCAAAAAAATCTGATGTATTAAATGACGCCAGACGATTGCAGCTACAGCTTGCTGAGAACTGCACGCTAAGTAATAGGCAAATTTGGATTCTTCTATTTAAAAAAAACCCGAAAACATACATTTTTTGGTGGTAGTAATATTGGATAAGAATCTACCCAAAAAACACGTCACCCTGTACCTCGAAAACTATTAACATTCGGATAAGACAAATTCAATTTTCCAGCATTTGTTAACATTCACTTTGTATATCCATAAACAAATTGATAAATTCGCTTCAATTGTGCATCAATCATTGCGACCTAGTGGCTTGCTCCACTCATTGTGCATTCTGTTTAATAAGCTATGAATAAACAATGGTTGTATGGCGAGCGTCATTCGGACGGTAATCTAATTAAATAAGGGACGTATTTAATTAAATATTCTCGGCGAACACCTGAAGTCCGACATGGTCGCATTTATTTATCAATTCAATGCAATGCGTCAATATGAACCGCACTCCTTATACGATGAAGTGACCGAGTGGTTTCGGTAAACAGGAAATTTCTGCCATACTTTTTGCCTCGTTTTTTTTATGGATTACCTATAAATCTCGTCCCGTGGGGAATTCTGGTCGTCGGCTGTATTTTCGAAAATTTCGAAAAATCGTTGCTCAATGTCCCTGCCGAAGATGCCGCCCGGTACTTTCCGAAGAAACTTCTTCAGCACGCTGGCGATCGTGTACACGCTGAAGTTGTCCATGTTCACCAAACGGCCGGTTTGCAGGAAATGAATCAGTTTTTTCATTGCGCCCTGATGGCCTGGCGCCCTGAACACATCTTTTCGATATGGGGCCTCTTTGTTTAACTTCAATATTAACACCTGGAATTTCAAAAAAATACCCATTGATAGTGCATTATTTCCAATATTCCACCAAATAAATTCCTGCGAGCCCAACCGCATTAATCGAATAAAGTGACAAAACCATCACCATGCTAAAGCAGGTAAGTGGTGAAATTGCAGCAGAACCATCAAGGTGTAACCAAAATCATTAAATTGCCAACCATTGCGCGCACGCTATTTTATTTGCACAACTAGAACACATTTTCTTTTATTATGATTTATATCTCTGCTCTCAGCGGCATTTTAATGTGAATTTACATCAAAAACCTATCAAGTCCAATGAATTTTGCAATGTTTAATGGGTAAACAACCTCAACGATTCCGGAAACAACGCTAGAAGAAATTTGGTGCTTAGTTTTCAGACTAAATGTCTGAATATAGTCGAAAATAACTAATATAGTCGGAAATAAGTCCGAGATTTTTTCAAAACTTTGGCTAAATTGAATCCAGTTTTTCGTTCTTTTAAACAACTGCGAAATTATCTTCTTCTGCATGTAAGTTTTCTTCATCTGAAGACGGTTTTAAACGCAATATTTAATTATTTCTGTTTTCTAAAATAAGACGCAACAGAAATCAGGCCTCGTTTTAATCGTTTGCGGCTTGCTCCACTTGATATACAGATCGTTCTTTAAAAAATGCGCAAATGCGTTTAAGCTGTAGTTCTATATAAAACAAAGTTTTTATCTAACTTAACTGATTTCCGAACTGCTGAAAATTGGCCAGCATTAATCGGCGYAAAAACAAACAMATTTTTAGAAAATCCCTGAAAATTTACTGCAAATGAGTCAAAGTTGAAACGCTTTTCATGTATAGAGCAGACTTTGGCCTACAAAGATGGCACAAAAGTGACCCTCTAACTGAGCAAGGTCTTGAGTAAATAAATCTCAAACTTCGGCCTGTTAAAATACCCCGCTGAAAATTTTTTTAAATTGCCTGATGATTGACTTCGTTAGTTCCTGAATAAAGAAATGTTAAACTTCGGCCTGCAAGAACCCGATAAAGCAAACGCAATTTCAAAAAATTCTCAGAAATAGCCTGATAATTACTCAACAACGAAACTTTGCCCATTTAATGCTTGCCCGCAGAAGGTACTTTGCCCTACGAAATGCTTCCAAAATTGCTAGACATCTTTGGGCCGGCTATTTTTCATTCATATCTAGTTTTATTAACTTAAAGAATCACATGAAAAACCCATATCTCGCATTGTTATCAATATCAGCACATGATAGGACGAAAATGGATTCTTATCACCCAATTGCTTGTAAAACATAAAATACGTACACGATTTTAATCCTTGGTGTCTCAGGAAATCGGCGACTAGATAAGAGGAAAAAATCCTCTAGTAATAATTTTCCACTAGTTTAAGAAAGGCATTGAAAGCGAGTAGTTGGGGCTTGCTTTAAGAGTAAATAATTGATATCTGGACAAACGCAGTTTGTTGCCTCAGACATCGATTAACGCTGGCAGAGAAAGCCTTTGGGGAGCGATAGTGATAAAGGGAAATCAACAAACGTTTGATTCCAAAACTTCCTTTATTTGTCCAAGAGCCCCCCTATTCTACGCGTGTCTTAGATCGGGGAAAGTTCCAGCGAATTATGGAAAAAACACTTCGGAATGATTTGAAGAAAAGCTGGCCCTAGAGTTTAATTAACAACTTATCTAGAAACCCATCGAAGCAAAACGCTTTTCGTCGTATATTCTCAAGACAGGGCAGCTGGTGAAACTGTTTGTATCGACATAGGGGTACCAGGCTTCAGGCTTGTTACAGTAGGCAGTCAAGAGTGAAACTCAACTTTAGAACATCTGGCGATGCTCCAAATGGTCGCAATGGGGTTGGAAACTTACCAGCAAAGGTCCAGGAATGTCGCTTTTGCAAACTTCCTCCAACGGTACCCCAAACTTGACTTTCTCCAGCCGTCTCGGATAGGGGCCGGACGGGTGTCCGCAGGACGTCACTACGTTGCTAAAGGTGGCCGCACGCCTATGCATTCTCGCTGCCCAAGTGCTCATTTCCAATTGAGCGACAAATCGTTTAAGGCCCCAAGAATTCTTAGACCACCATAACCTAACTTCGACAACATCAAAACATTTTTAAAATAGTTGAACAACATGAACATGCAGCACACTTTAAAACACGGCATCCACACGGCTGACTAAAAACGCGGCGTCTCCGTATTAAATAAATCGGGGAAATTTATCCCAGTTGTACCATATTTTTGAATTTTCACGCCTTGAATTCATCGGGGGATATTCGAACCGCACCAAACATACACCAGCAGCGAAATAACAGAAATCAATCGGACGATGGGCGGTTTTGACAGGAATTTGATTTCCATCTGGGGACTTTTCCGCGCTGGAAACTCGTGATTGCCTACAATGTTTAAAAGCCCCCGTTGGCGCGTCATTTGAACCACGTTCAGCACATTTTTTCCACCACGGAAAGTTCGAAAAGTTCGTTAGTTTTACGTTTGAAACATTGAAAAACTACTTAAAAATCGCTTTGGCACAAACAATTAATGGAACTGGATGTTTCAAATCTGGAAATGCGCTTGAAGTCGCTAGATCAAACAGTTCTATCTAGAGATATACGAGAAAAATTGGCTTGTGAGTGGAAAAATGTTCTTGAAAATTGCCTAAAGATGACTGAAAATCAAATTTTTGGCCACTTATAGAACGGACTTTGCCCCACGAAATGCATCAAAAATTGACTTTCTCGCATTGCCAGTTACAGAGAAAATAAATGTAAATTTCTGGCCTGCGAAAACCAAACGTGACTGAAAGATTCTTAAAAATTGCCTGACGATGGATGAAAATCTTTTTGAACTTTTTCCTAACTGATTTATAATAATAGTGCCGAACTCCTTCCTGGCGGAATTTTGGTTATAACTATATAAAGTGGAAAAGTGAATAATAAAAAAACTGCAGTTATCCAAGAGAAATCTTTTGAAATACGTAAACACTAATTTCGGTAAAAACAGTCTGTACAGATTATAAAAGTCCTTTGAAAACAACAGAGATATTTACAACACGTTACATATAAGCAGGTTTAGGCACATACTGGTTAAATCACCTAACAACAAGCTGAAAAAAGGTTTCAGAAAAACTGATTTGATTAGTGCGAGATCAGTTTGTTTGATATTTAACAGTTACTGTGTAAACAACTCTTCAACGTAGTGAAACCTTAGCGGGTCATAAGATCTAAAAAGCTATCACATTATTGTCAAACAATGATTAATCATTACCTTCGTGTGCGTGTTTTTCAGCCAAACATAACGCAACGGCGACAAACAATCTATCAACAACATTTGCCATCTAAGTCGTTTAAAAATATAGACCTGAAATAATTTTCCAGACAAACAAGTTAAAACTTAACTAAAACTAAACAGTTCTTTAGCTACCTAGAAACAGTAATTCTAATTTGGCAAAGTCTTAATTCGATAGTAAATTGCACCCTTCTGAGATACTAAACGACGTTTTCGTCTGCATTTCCATGTCGAATGAGTGAAAATAAATTAAAACCTAATGAACTAAAATGATACTAAACTTTAATGAGGTATAAATGATGATTTTGTTGATTTACCAACTAGTTTAAGTCCTAGAAGTCCGAATCGCCGCGCGGACTCGCTGCAGGACTGGGCGGCGGAGGAAACGGACTGAAATATGTGGAACTTCGCGAACTGGGACTTGGGGGGCAACTTTCCTGGTGATAATGAGATCGGGGAGTTGGAGGCGGCGGAATGGGGCCCTCGTATGCGCTTCGATTTAACGGGTAGTTGTAATCGCTCTCGTCGCACACATCTGTCGAGTTTGGGGTGGGCGGCGGAGGCTGATTTATTGTCCTAAAAAGTGATTTTATTCCATTAACGGAAACTTCTTCGGGTCACTCTATCAAAGAAGACCGTTTACAAATTGGGTTTGCGAAATCCACATGCTAATGTTGCTTCTGTATGTTATTTTGCTTCATACTCAATCTAATCAATATTAAAAAGGCTTCAAGAATTCATCAAACGTTGAGTCTATTTCACTTGAAATTATGGGAAATTGCGTGTACATGTTACCGGCAATGTGCGAAATCCGGCAATATGCAAAATGCCTAGACATTCTGCAAACTGACCAACTCCCCAGGCATTTTGCAGAAACGCTACTACTTTGGGCAATCTGCACATTGACTACGGTATTTTAGTACGCGCTAGTCAATCTGAGGTGTTAGATATGTTTAATCTTCACATTGACTAGACAATGTGCATAAACCTGTTGCTACGAATCTGTGCTGGTTAGTTTTGCAACGGAATTTTGTTGCTTAATTTTTCAAGGAAAGTTTACTGTTGTTTACTGCCCTAAGTAGCAAACGACTTTGTAAAATTTACTCCGTTTCCAGTGTTGGTTATTGATTATTAGTTTGTATTCCTGTCTTATTAGCGTCGTGCATACAAATTTTGATTTTTCGGAAGTTTGGTATTCGGGTTTACATATTATTTAATGTAAAATGAAAACCAGGGTAATTAATAGGGGACATCTTTGCCAAAGAAAAATCAAAGACTAAATATGAAACAACATACAAGATTCTCGATAAATGATGTGCTGGAAATATGTAAATGTTAATGAAAACAAACTGATATCATAATTTTGTGTGTGCACAAAAATTTAAAAAATATCCGCAGTTATGGAGCTAATAATTTATGCTTTCATACTTTAATGCTGTTGATAAATTATAATATTAGTGTTAAACAATCTTATTACATTAAATTGTTTTGTGATTGGTAAAACAACTCATTAAATAAATAATTAAAATAATATATAATAATGAATTTAATTTCACTAAAAATGTCTTCATTTCCGCTCTCCATTGCCTTATCATTGAACAACAATATTTGGCATAATCGCCGCGCGGCAGAAAGGAAACAACAATTTTGCTGCATCAGGTATTATGCACATTGTCTAGTCAATGTGAAGATTCAACATATGTGATACTCACATTGACTAACGCGTAGGGCATTTTTCAGATTGCCTAAAATACCGTAGCCAATGTGCACATTGCCCAAAGTAGTAGCGATTCTGCAAAATGCCTGGCGAGTTGGTCAGCTTGTAGAATGCCTAGATATTTTGCACATTGCCGGTAACATACACACTGAATAAAATGAATTATGTCAATCCATTGCCACAATCTGTTTAAATAAGATATTTCACGCTCTACACAATGTGTTAATTCATTCAATTCATTTCGTTTGAGCTTAGGAGTTGCGCTAAAACCCCAAGGGGTAAAGTATTAGTTTCGCAACTCCTTATCGAAGCGGCTTTTATGACTTTTCATATACTTTTCCCCTGATCCATGTGGGGATGATCAAGTCCTTAATTGACGCAACCCAGTTCTAGCAAAATACTGTCCCCCTTTTCAGCTAAACGCCCTCAATATTTACCTGTAGTGCCTGTAAGGCCTGTACCTCGAACTTGGACTACTGGCTCTAGTAGAAGGCACTGTCGTTGCCGGACTAGGTGGAGGATTTAAAGTCTCCCTCGGATAACTTGCGTTGCTGGAGGCATTCGTGTTGGAACTGCTAGAAGCCCCCGTGATGTGTCTTCGTTCGTACGTTGACGGATAGTTCTCAGTCATCATCGACATCCGGACAACATCCGGGATCCCTAAAAAGGCAATTTTTCAGTTCCAAGTAAAACCAACGGCGTTCAACAACTACCTCGCCTCAATGTGATGTTCTTATTGTGACTATTTGGGTCCAATGGACTCAAACTGTCCTCGGGAGGTTCAGCAACCAGTTGCTGTGGGGCGCACGGTTTCACCCGCTTGTAGATCAGGAATGCCACAACTCCAATACACATCAAACATATGATAACCACTACAAAGGTTCGAAATTTGGATGTTTCTGCTGGGCAGCCTTGTTCGTCCGAGCCGTCGGCACAGTTTTCCGTTCCATCGCATTTCAAGGAGGCGGGCAGACAAACCTGGACGAAACAATCAATCAAACCCGTTCAAACCCGAATAGCTAAACGGCCCTACTTCAGTTTGTGGACATTGGAAACCGTTGTCGCAGCAATTCTTCTCATCCGATCTGTCCAGGCAATCGTCCATGTTGTTGCACATCAACGATTTATCGATACACTGCCCATCTTGGCACCGGAACTGATTGACCTCGCAGTTGGGACAGTTCAGCTCGTCACTGCCGTCCGAGCAGTCCTTTTGTCTGAACGAAAACGGGGAAATTTAGCGGTTCACTTAGAACGGGAAAAGTGTCTACCTGTCACATCTCCAGGCAATCGGAATGCAGTCTTTGGTGTCAGATGAGGCCACTGTGCAGGAAAAACGCTCGGCGCCACAATTCGGGATGGTTTGGCAGGATCTTCTGTCTTCTTGCAGCTTCTTGCCATTAGGACACGCGCAATGTGGCGTCGTGCCTGCGACAACGAATACGTGTATTTAAAAAAATATTTCATGTGCTGAAGACAACAAGACGGGCAAGACTGTAATAATTAATTCCTCGATTTTTTTCTATTTTCACATTCACAAAACAAAAATGCACATGCCCTTCTGATTTTTAAATATAAAAAAAGTGCTAAACGCGCCTAAAGAAGTTTTCACTTCTAAAACCTGTTTCAGCTCATATCTATGCCAAACTCACCATTTAGAATGCAAAAATGCGAACACCGATTCTTCGTATCGCCGCAACTATGACTGCGAATCTGTTGCACCGAAATAAAGTCGACAATGTGGGACGCCTGGATGGCTAGAGTGGACCTGGACTTGCCGGTGGTCAATTCCAGCCGTTGCAGCTGATTCAGGTCCTTGTCGATCCAGTACAGCCATCCAGCGTGAACAGTGAGGTGAGTAATTTTGAAATGGCTCTCATTCACTACGACATGCCTGGAAAATGACCTCGTAAAAACTGTTCAGCAAAAGCAAAAGGCTGAAACGTACTTATTTTCCCCGTCGATATTGCTGATGTAAATACTATGCCCTTGCGACCACACAATGAAGTCGTTCTCAGTATCCACAGCAATAGCCGAAATGTTGTCGTCGGACTTCGTGATCACGATTCTATGCGATCCGTCCAGCCGGGCCCGTATGAGCTGATTTTGGTCAGCCACGTTGGTGTAGAACAGCAGCCTGAACAATAAACCATCTAAACTTGCGGTTCATTCACACTCAGTGAGCCAAAACCTTTTAGTCACATGCACCACAATCAATCTCGGTTTCTCCCCTTCGACGCTCCTTATGCTTCCAAAAGAGTTCGTGTTGTCCAGCCTGGTCACATTGATGACATTCTGCAAAGCGCACGTCCAGAACAAAAGCCGCCCTATCGAATCCACTGCAATATCAAAGGGCTTAATATCGTGACCACCCGGCACAAACACACTGGTATCGGGTGTTATTATGTTGGAAACCTTAATTGCATGAAGCTTTGCGTCGATCTGAAAAACGTATTAAATCGAGTTCGCAACATCCAAACTACCTGCAACACTTACCCAATACAGGGCGTTATTTTTGGGATCGAAATCGATCGCTCGTACGGCCTTCAGGCCCTGTACGGGAAGAACCGCTTCAGGACAGTCAGAAGTATCCGGCACTAAACGAACCACCAAATTCTTCAAGCCGTAGATCATGAAGCTTACCGGAGCTGGATAAAAGTTGTCAAATTAAACCAAAACCAATGTCAAAATTAACAACAGAACTCACGCGAACATTCGTTGTTGTTGAGGAAATAATGAGTGGGACAAGCGCAAGTATATTTTGTGTGTTCTGCCGGACTATCGGCAGGCAACGCCAAGCACAAGTGCGAACATCCCCCATTACTAGTGGCACATTGATTGGTCTGGTTCTGCTTCATGTTGTGATACACTAGAATATCGGTGATATTTTCTGAAAGGGTCGCCACTTTTTCTATGCCCAAACCGGAGTTTTTCAGCGCTTTATAGATGTCAGCTGGAATCAATAAGTTCATATTCAAAGGATTATTTAGGTTTCGAATCTTCCGCAAAAAAACCGGTTTACACTTACATGTTTTCCCATCGCTCCAAAATATGTGCTCCTTATAGAGCGCCAATCTACGGGGGGTTAAAGTCGAATCCTGGATAATGGTTTTCTTGTTATTTCCGTCTAAATCAGCAGACCAAATGGCTGGAGCGTCAATTTCGATCCAATATAATCTAAAATTTAATTGAAAAAAGCCATTGAGTTTGTCGCTAACCATTTCCGCTCTACAAGAACCATTTTGTTAACTCTAAACCGACGCACCTTTTTTTCTCATAGTCTAATGTAAGTCCTGTGGCTTTTCCAATAGTGGACAGCAGTTTTCGTTGCTTGGATCCGTTCATTGCTGCCTTTTTTATGAGATTCGACTGGCCCCATTCCGACCAGTACATGTACCTAAAAAAATAAATATAAAAAACCCCGATGAAAAATCCAGCAAAAATTACCCCGAAGCCGGGTCCAGGACAATGCTGTGGGGTTCGTAGACTTCGTCCCATAACAATGTTCGCCTAGATCTGCCCACTAAGCGGGACACTTCAATTCTGTGCGAAATCGGGTCGGTCCAGTAGATGTTCATGCCTGCAACATTTAGTTTTTAAGCGTCTTAAAATTGGGGAAAATTGGCTGCAAACCTAGCCAATCCACCGCAATTCCCTCGGAATATGCCAGACCTAAATCAATCACTTTCTGCGGCTCAGAGCCGTTGATGAAGGCTCTCATAATAGTGCGCGCTTTGGAGTCGCTCCAGTAAATTCGCCTGGAGTTAATATCGAAATCTATTGAGCTGAAACACACCAATCATGTTTAAAATGGTCGGAAAACCATTAGGACTGTCTACCTGGCATGCCGAATGTTCGGTATATGCAAACTCTTTTCAATCGGTTCGTTTTCAATGCTAATTCTTCCGATGCTGGTGTTTTTCGTGTAAAGCAAAAATGCTTCTGGTTTGATGCAATTTTGCATGTCTCTGGCCAATTCGTAGTCAATTTCGCAGGCACATAAGCGCGATGTTTTGTGCCTATGAAAACACAGCTGGGAACAATTGCCATTGTTCTCTGAACAAACATTCCAGCCAATCGGAGCCGATAATTTGATCGCTTTCAGCCCCATCACGTTCTCCATTTGATCGACAATGACTTGTCGGTTTCCTCCTTAACAAATTAAAAACAAATTGTCCGAATAGATCATTCCACAGTGTCAGACTTTTCCGTATTTACCTCTATCTTTATCTGCTCGGTCGATAGAGCGTCGTTGCCAGTCGGTCCAGTATAAATAATCTCCCATGAGACTGAACCCAAATGGATGAGGTAGATTTTCTTTGATTAAAGTTTGCCGATCGGTCCCATCCATGTTGGCAAATTCGATACGATCAAATTTAGCGTCGCTCCAATATATCTTCATTTTTATCAAATCTGAAACAATCACATCCATAAGTACAGATAGCCGGCTAAGTGCCTACAAAAAAGTACCCAGAGTAATTCCATTTGGCCAGCCCAAGTGTTCTTGAACGATGTAAACGCGCATTGAACCGTCCAAATTTGAGCGTTCCACTTTGGGGTCTTTCTCGTTCCAGTCCGACCAAAATAGCCAACCCAGTTCTGAGGCAACGGCGATTCCTCTGGGATCTATCAAACCGTCGCCTAAAGAACAAAAGCAATAAGACCAGAACCCAATTTTTTCGGGTTTTCACCTACCAATAATCACTTTTCTATAACCTCCTTCCAATCGGGCCACTTCGATGCGATCCGTGCCAGTATCCGTCCAGTAAATGTTCCGGGAAATCCAATCGAGCGCAATTCCATCGGGATTTTGAATTTCCGTCACAATTACATCTTGCTGATCGGAACCTGAAACAATTTTCGACGTTGCACTGTAAGAAGCTGATTTTCCAGCAAACGCCTGGTCACTCACCATTCAGCTTGGATTTCTGAATTTTTTTCACTTCATCATCCGACCAGTACAGGTAGTTTTTCACGGGATCAAAATCAACAGTTATTGAATACTTTACATCGCCCAAAGGTATCACTTTGTAGCTGTAATCAGGAGAATCTAGATAAATCACGCAAATATCCGTTCGTCTGGCTACCACTAGCAATTCCTGCGGCTCACTGGCGCAGTTTTTCTCATCTAAAACATTTCATTCGATTGAAGCAGATTGACTTTGGATTGAGTGGAAAACAAGCCTTACCAATAAGTTTAATTCCTATGGGACAAGCACAGGTGTAATAGGGAGGATCGGGCGATAGAAGACACAAATGCGAACATCCAGCATTATTTTCGCAAGGATTCGGCCCTTGAGGTTGTCGTTGTCTCTCGAATACTTTGATATCCATGGGATGGGTGCCCATTTGAAATTCCATCGGTTGTTGGGAGGAAGTTTCCAATTTGGAGTAGTCGAAAATGGCCCTGAATTCATCCAATTGTTATTTTAAATTGGACGTGTCCAAAAACTAGATACATACACGCTTTTCCAGTCAGTCCAGAATAACTTGGAGTAGGACTGCGTTAGGGCATATGGATACTCGGAGGCGGTTTGCAGGATTATTGATACGCTTTTTCCATCAAAGTCCATTACCTGAAACCGTCCAGTATTAAGTAAAATAATAAGAGAGGTACTGAACCTAAGTACTTTGATGAATAAAAGTTTGCCATCAATCCAGTAAATTTTTTCCGAGTCATAGTCAACGGTCAGCCCATTGGGCCAGTGGATGTGTTCAGAAACGATAACTTTGCGGGATTTTGGGTCACCGTTCATGCCAGCTCGCTCAATTTTTGGCACTTCTCCCCAGTCGGTCCAGAACAGAAACCTAACAAAAAAACCTCAAAATGTAGCAGTTTAATGCGAGAAACTGGCCGGTTGTACCCTTTCATCGGCACTACAACTATGGCCCTTGGCTGGTCAACTTCCGTCCAAAATAAGACTTTCCGGTGCTTGCCCTCCAATGAGGCCACTTCAATCCTGTTCGTTTCACAGTCCGTCCAATAGATATTGTCCGTAAACCAATCGATGGCCAATCCATCAGGCGACAAAACATTGGCCACTATCTCAGTCTGAAATTAGGGGCTTGAGAATGGTGGTTCAATTAAAAGCAAAAATTCCTACAGTATTTTCTGCTTGAGTCCCATTGAGGGACGCGCAATGAATGCTCTCCAGATCGTGGTCTGCCCAACAAATTTGCCGGTAATCGTAATGAAAGTCCACCGCTGATATGTAAGTGAAGTTTTTGATGATTGTGGTTGGTTTGATTTTCGTATTTTTGTGGGAAAACGTCGACGTTATCAGTCGGATGTCTTTTGTCGTTGAATAAATCAGAGTAATCGGTTGCATCGCTGAAACACTATCTGAAAGGACAGCCAACACATTTAAGAAGGATTTGCGTAGAAAAGTGACTTAATTAATCACGTACTTATTACTAATAGAATTACTGAATACAATTATATTGTTCATTGATTTATTACTTTACTTCGAATTACATTAATGTATAATACGGTTTGTCGGAAAACTGTCTGCAAAAGCTTTAAGTTCTAAGCGATTTTCTTTTACGGCTTTGGTCTAGTCGAAAATGACCTTAAAACACTTAAAAATTAATCGATTTTTTTTAGAACCTGGTTGTTTGACCGCGCAGCACTGGCTTGGCTTAAAATACATATTGTTAAGTTTAGACCATCACCAGATAAAATTGCCATGTTTGCAAAATTTGCGATGTAATTGAGTAAAACCGACGAAATTTACATTTCATGAAATTAAATTTTACATGAAAAAATGCAATTTTATATGCTTTTGGGGTACCTATCAATATTTGGGACTGAAGTTGGTCATGAGTCGCAGAAGAAGCCCCAAAGCATGTGCTTTTATATACAAATACAGATTCTGGAAGTTGCAAAATAACTTTCAAAGGGATGTTCAATAACTTCCACTAAGCATAAAAACCTTGTCCATAGACCGAAGTAAACAAGCAGAAAGGTGGATGTATTCAACCCTTCTATACTGCCTGTTCTTAATGCAGAGCCCTGATATCTCCAGTATCAAGTAAAAAAACATCCAATTCAACAAAATAGTACGTCTATTTACCAGTGTTACCTCTTCCAATGATTTGTCTTCCAAGCAACAAAAGGCATAGCCAGAAAGTTCTAACTAGCTCCATTTGCCTATCACTAACAGATAACAGCCACAAGCACACTTTCAGCACTTTACATTGAAGAAATATGGATAATTTTGGGAAAATTTGCGAAAACAATTTTTGGTCATCAGGAAATTTCGGTTGAAGGGTAGAAGGACCGGCAGCTGATATGCTTTATATCCGTTTGATTGGGTGCATTCTTCTAATTATTTACTGATATGAACATAAATAAAGAAAAAAATAAAACCAGGATTTATCGTTTAGATGAAGAATTTATAAACAAAACCACAGAGTGAGTGACATTCCTTCAGTCCTCTTCTCTTCTGTGTCTGCATCCGGTACTAATCCAGATAGTGCTGCCACCAAGGAAACTTCAGAGTTTAGAACCAACTAAAAAGTGATTCGAAAAGATAAACTGTGATTTTATTTTTTTTAAACACCACCCATTTTTCGATCTTGCTGAAGTCCAGAGCATAGGTAAAAAGCAGAACAAGTAATTTAACAAATTTATTTATCACAACTTAAATTAACTAATAAAAATATAATTTAAATTAACAAATCCTCAAGATAGTCCTCTATTTCCTCCTCACGCGACTTGGTTTCGACTGGTTTGTGATTTTCCCAAGCTGGATACTCAGTCGGTAATTCCATTTTCGGGGCTTCTTCAGGCTCAGCTTGGGTTCGACTTTGGGTGGCTTTGCTTGGCGCGATCGCTTGAGGGTGTTTTTCCTTGCGATTTCCTCTCCTCTGAAGCCTGGTCACTTCCTTCTTCTTGCTGTGATGGTTCAGCTTCTTCGAGCACGATGGGCAAAGGCGAATTTTCACCAGGGCGTTTTTCCTCTCGCCTTGCTCCTGATAGGCAAAGTTAACCTCCCAGCTCCTCAGCTCGTTCTTCTCGCCACACGACTTATTTCCGCATATAAACTGGCCTTTACCACTAAGCACCTCCTTCTGAATTCGCCACCTCATCGCCACTTTGTTTTCCTTGTACAGGCTCAGGTCTGCAATGCAGTATTCCTTGAACAGCTTCTCGTAGTATCTTTTGGCAAACTGTTCCTCCCATGTTTCCGGCTCCTTCTCATCCCACAGGAACTTGTGGTTTTCTTTTAGCACATGATAGTCGGTCTTGTCTTTGGAAGAATCGCGTGCCAGCCACTTAGTGTCTCCTGGTTGTTTTAGCACAAACTCATTAACAATTAGCTTGTGGATTTCGTAGGCGTTCAAGTAGCGCATTTGGGTTCTTAAGCCAGCCATCAGTACTACAGTGAAACCAGCATTAACTAGTTTCGCATTGACTTTTCTCAGCTTCCAGTCGCTTGAAATTTGAAACAAAGTGGAATTTTGTATTGATTGCCCATAAACTTGATAAAAAAACTCTTACTTACACAAAATAGGATTGTTTCGGATCTACCTACTACTAAACTGTGTGGAAAACACGGATTTTTTGTTTAAGTCCATTAAAATTTAATCTTTGGCTACTTTGGGCAGAAAACAAAAACTCGTCTTTACCTATGGTAGAAAAACGATTATTATTGGGTGAGGTTATGCATTACGTCAATAGAAAGGTCCTTGCGATTTAGTAAGGGGGCAGGTGTTAGGAAATCCTATGGAATAATTTTAAAAAAAATTACAGGAAATTTGAAAAAAAAAACAGAAGTTCTAAATATTAACGTCCAGTTTACTTTACGCGAACCTCAATTGATACAGGGTGTCTCAAATTCAAGTGGCAGACAAAAAAAAATTCTAGGTCAATTCGGTATAATAAATGTTCTATATAGATTTTTAATTGTTTTTGAGTTAATGTCCATTACTGATTGAGTTTGAGCCTCCCCCACAATTGTATTTTGTACGTATTATATTCTATTATTATTTTATATTGGTATGTAATGTATGTATCTATGTATGTATTTATTCTATGTATGTATGTATTATTGTATGTATGTAATGTCACTATTTTGTCGAAATATGTTACTTTTATAGACCTTTGCAAGTGTACATGCATAATTTTGTCTTGTCTTTGTCAGCAGTTTAAACTTCATAATTTAAAGTCTACTATAAAAAAATAGTTCTTACCATTAGCGAAAAATCTATAAAACTGCTTTTGCTCACCCAGTATAAATTTTCAATGACCAGTGCAGGTTTGGGATTAGAAAACTAAAAGAAAATTTCAAAAATGCACTTTAAGCTAGTGCAGTTGACACTGACAAACTGAGAGGGCGCTGTCAGTGTCCCCAATCCAAGGAAAGCAAATGAAACTAGCTAACCATCAGTGACATAAAGGCGCTTTTTCCGAGTTTGCAGATTTCTTTAGAGTACAGATTCCTGTACAACCTTTCATTTAAAACGTTGCTGCCACATCTGATAAGGACCGATTTTCGTGCAAAAACACCGTTAATAGCAAATTTTTTCCGCAATAAAGCACGAATTTCCGCCACATTGCGGGTTGTGAGTCTTAAAAAGACCACTTGGACAGGCCGGGCTTATCAAAGTGAAAAATTGAGTCGGCCATGTTGTCGCTGGCAACGCCGTGGTCAGTCGACCTCGCTCGTCGTTGATGGCGTTCGCTCGTTGCACTGTTGTCAATTTTTGTTCTGTTTTCATAATTTAAAGTGAATTTTTTTAGGAATCGCAGTGTTTTGAACAATTTAGAGACCCCATAAATTATTTACAACAGTTTTCATCGTTCCCAGGCGAATTCCGGGGGCTGTAGGCCCGGTTTAAGGTCGGCATCGCGTGCTGAAATACTGTAAAAGCTTGGCCCTGAGACGTCGTGTCAACGCCACAAATTCGATTGTGGCGCTCAGTTTGAATCCCCAGGTAATTTATTTATATTATTGTTGCTATTGTTGGACTGGGCCCCACCTTAGAGGCCCAGAGACACACTCTCGAAAAAGTCAAGATCTTCAAAATATCGCGTGCAGTGGGGATGTTGTAACGGAAGCATTCCAGGTATTTCCATCGTTAACATGGAAAATTCTGGGGGCCGTGCCATCCTGGAGAATGTGGTTATCACGTCGGAAGGTGCCGATGGGGCACAGTACATCCGATTGTCAGATAACTCGCAGATCATCAGCTCAGAACTGTTACAGAACCACAATGGTCTAGTCGTAGATTTGGGAGGGAATGATTTCATTCCCGTCACATACAGGTAATCATAATAATAAATAAAGTTTTCCCGATTATACGGCGTGAGCCAAGAAATGTTATAAAGCAGCCCATTACCTAACCTAAAGCCTGAGCGTCAATCAGTGACTTACGGCAGTGAAACATATACTGGGCTGCTTCACTTATTTAAATCTACAGGATGAAATTTCTTGCCCCCCTTCAAACCTAAATAGTAGTCTTTATTATAATTTCGGAAAAAATTCAAAGCTTTGCACGTAAAATGCTAACCGATGTTTGCAGTTCTGAAGACATTCTCACTCAAGAACTAACCGAAGAAGATCGTAACTTAGCTGCCGCTCTAGTGGCTGTTCAACTGAGCCAACAGCAGAAACAGCAGCAATTACAAGAGTCCTCACTTCCGCCTCTAATCGGTATGGATGGGCTTCAACCCATTTAAATCTCCATTAACTAACTTATTCTACAGCGGGCAATAAGCTGCTGGAAGAGCACCAGCAGCTGATCCTGACCCAGGACAAATCGAGTGGAAACTCCCAGTATTTAAAAATCGTCAATTCAGACGATATTTACATTGACCAGCAGGGAATGCATAAGATCGTCGAAAATGTGAGGATCATTGATAATACTGATCAAAACATTCCAATACACACAGTCAGTGCAGACGAGCAGCAGCAAATGCATCTAAATGAGAATAAAATCGAAATCATTGACAGAGATGATGATGAAAAAGCCGATTCCGATAAGGAGTCAGTCAGGTAAATAGTCTAGGCAGCATTTTGGAACATTTCGTTTAGTGAAACCCTTGTAGGAATGATACCCGATCGTCCAAGAAGTCCTTGCCACATAAGAAGAGGATCAGTAGAAGACATCGCAAAAATAGCACGAGTCCAACTAAACAACACCCTTCAAATTTGTGCAAAGAGGAATTTGTTAACAATGACGAATTCCCGGAACAAGAAGACTCTGACAGCCCGTCTAAAGCGTTCCCAAATTCCCCTTTCTCATGTCAGCTGTGTAATGTTGCCTTTTCTGTAGAAGATCAATTGAAGTACAAAACATTCCACTGGATTTTGACTAGAAATAGCATCGTTATTTTGTTGCAGATTCTTTGAGCATTTAAAGAAGCATTACGAGCCTGGCGGCATGAAGGAGGTCACATCTACAGCGATCGTAACTGCGCCTCCTCCAGTGGAGGAGAAGAAAAAGAAAAACTCTCCAAAACAAGAGAAAAAACCCCTTGTGGACGAAAAGGAGCCCCAGGAGACATTGCTTTCCAGTCTGCTAAGTTTACAGTGCATTGAATGCAACAAGACATTTAGGTAAGTGTCAGGAGGATGTAATTTCGTTAACTTGAGTGATATTGGGATTTATCAAAGAGCCTTTCTTCCTATCTATTTTCCTGGCCATTCTATCAAACTTTTGTCTTCGTTTAGGCGCCAAAAAACATTTGAAGCTCACATGCGAGACGTTCACAGCAACAAAACTGAACCACAAGACGAGTTTTCTGATGCGGAAGACATGATGGCCGGTAAGTGGCTGTCGTCAACCCTTTTTCCTTATCCATTACGGGAATTGCATGAATTTTGCAGGAATCGACGTTGCTGTCGACTACGATAGCATTCAAGATGATGTTGACGACGATAGCAAAGCATGGTACCAGGAAGAAGAGCTGCACCAAACCGAAAAAGATCTAGAAGAACTAGAAGACAAGAATGAGCATGTGTGCCATCTGTGCAAACAACCATTTCCCCTCCGGGCCATCCTCCTTCAGCATCTGGTTACTTGCCGCGTCACGAGCGGAATGACCGGTAGGCACCCAAAAAACTGTCGTTATTCAATTACAATGATTTGCTTCTAGAACCAACGCCCGCAGTAATAGTGCGCAAGAAAAACAAGAAGGTGAAAGATAAGCTAAATTGCGATCTTTGCGACAGGGTGTTCAAGCATAGGAATTCCTTGGTTTACCATATGCGAAGCCACAGCGGCATCAGACCACATCAGTGTGAGCTTTGTGGCAAAAGTTTTTTTGCTTCCAGCGCTTTAAAAGGTATTTCTTTATAGTGTCTTTGTGCTTGATTTACACAAAATGCTCGTTTTATTTGCAGTACATTTACGGCTGCATTCAGGCGACAAGCCATACGACTGCCTGCATTGCGGCAGGAAATTCAGACAGTGGGGCGACTTGAAATATCACATTACCTCCATACATTCAACGGAGAAGAATTACCAATGCGAGTACTGTGGCAAGGAGTTTGCCAGGAAATACTCCTTGGTTGTGCATAGAAGAATTCACACAGGTAACCAAAACCGCCCGTTTATTCCCGTTTCAAACACATCAAACATTCTATGGCAGGTGAGCGAAACTATAAATGCGAATACTGCGGAAAGACTTTCCGCGCTTCATCATACCTTCAAAACCATCGGAAAATCCACACTGGCGAAAAACCACACAACTGCTCGATTTGCTCCAAACCGTTCAGAGTCCGCTCAGACATGAAACGGCATGAAAAAACACATGGAAAACTAGCGGCTCCCAGGTGAGAACGAGCCAAAGCCGCGTGTTGTTTCGAAAAACCGCCACTTTTACTTTAGGGGTGCACATTCGCATGCAAAGGCCCAACAGCAACAGCAGCCCCAACTGGAACCACCACCATCTCCACCCGAATTCAAAGTGCAAAAGAACGAAGTGGAGGAAAATGATGAATCCAATGAGCTGCAAATCGGCGAAGAAGAGGACGCAGCCGAGCATATATTGGGGTACGATCAGCAGGAAATCGAAATGATGAGTGGCTCAACAATCACGAAAAGGAACTTGTAAGTACGCACTGTTCCGTTTTGTACGTTTGCATGAACATTCGTTGATTGTTTCAGATACACAAACGGCCACGAATTATTCTTGGTTACATATCCTAATGAGATGGTACCAAGGGTGGCCAACGGCACAGAAACTTGGATCCATACAAGTGACGCTTGAACTGTACAATGGGTATAAACTAGAGGCCGATGCTGCAGACTAATCACAATAAGATTTTTTTTTATTCTTTAGACATACGGCGAAGCATTGAAATTCATTGCGGAATTAGGCATTAGTTTCATCTAGTTCGTTAGTTTTAAGATTGTTGGTTTATTGTACCTCAGCATCTTCTCTATAGTGTAGAGAATAATATTGTGTTGGAATTGCTTTTGGTTGAAAAGTACAATTCCTGTTTGATAACCTTAATGGTCTTTAGGGGAATTAAACCAAATTTCAAAGTTGGATTGTACCTAAATAATTAATGCAATACAAATTGTACTAAATCGTTTAAGTAACGTACCAGAGGTCTTCAAGGCAAGTGTACTGATTTACAAATTTTATTTCCGATAACTTACCAAATTAAATTTATAGATTATAGCACGAAGGTGGCCAGAGCTAATATTTTCAATTCGAGATGTTAGAATTAAATATGTACATAATATCTGGTGTTTTTTTTACTGGGGGATAGTGTCTGGATGGGGAAGTTACTGAGGTCATAAAAAACATGTTTTGCCTATTGATTTAATGAGTCAATAAAACAAAAAACATCCTACAACTTGAGCTTGGTTCTGCGCCAATGACGCCTCTTAGCGTTGTATCTGAAAAAAACACGATAGTTTAGCCAGATGTTTGGTTGCTTGAATTCAGAACAGGGTGGCATTTTTACAATTATCCACTTGGAATCTCGTTAAAGGAAATGTGATCCTTTCAGGTACCGCCAGGTTTTTTTTTATATTTCAACTTATAGTAGAAGTTATAGAAGTACACTTGGTATTAAGCAGTTTCAGTAAGAAACAACGTTGGATGGTCATAAATTTCTCAAAAAAAATGTGCTATTTGTTTCTAAATCCGGTTTTGGTTAGCAAGATCGTGACTCGATACGCAAAAATCCAATATAATCTAGGTTTGAGCCCCTTTTTTACTTTGTGTTAGCATTGGTTAAAATATTTTTCCACTGTAACTTTTTTTTATTTAGAGCAAATATGAATTCAGACCTAACTAACCCAAAGATATAATTTTCACTAACATAAAACGTTTGGAGCAGTTAAGTAATACCATGCAGTTAAGTAATATCATGCAAAGTTTAGCATAAAAATGGTGAAACTGAAATGAAAAAAGTGTTTTCTGGCTTAATTATTGATGGACGTTTAATGATTTTTTCTAGTTACAACTAAAATCTTGGACTCCGACTGTACTCAAACAAGTTCACCTGGAGGCAAAACGAAGTAATCTCCCGAAATAAGCCTTGAAACCCCTACTGATAAGATGCTTTAAAGCCTAACTAAACTTGAAAATGTTGCAGAAGTTTTATAACCTACAAATGCTTGCCCGGATGGTAACTGAATAGTTTGCCCGTTTCTTTCCAAACTAATATTAAAAACTTGCGACTTTAGAGGCCCTTTTGGCTTACCTGATTGTGTTTCCAGTCCTCATTCTCACCCATTGGGGAATTGGCCTGTTTTGTTTCAGTTTCTTGGCAAGCTTTCGCTTAATAATAAACGTCTTGTGGGCAGCCTAAAACAAAAAATATCGATCAATTAGCAACCGCTGAATAATTTGATGCAAAAGACAGAAAACCGTTTTGAAAATCTATGCGGGATGTTTAAAGAAAAGGAGGAATATTCTTGACTTACCATTTTCAAGCTGCGAAAATACAAACCAGAAGGAACGTCGGACGTTTAAAAAGTGAGGTTTGTCCACAGGGTCCACAGCACAGATCACATAGGTTGTGATGAGGTGTGATGTCACACTCTGTAATCTGTGAGTATGTCAACTGTAATTGATACCAGATTTACACTTTACACCCTAGAGGCCACTGCGAATAAAACTGCAATGTTGCTTCAGTTTCTCCGCGTTCTAATACCGCGTAAGAAGCTTTTGACCATAGATAAAGACAACTAGGCTTTTGACTTGCAACCTTGAGTTTCATTGACTGCAAAAAGCCTATTTGAGATGGTTATTTGCAAAATCTGGCACCGACGTATAGGGGGTGAAAAGTGACAGTGACAGCCAACTAGAAGCTAGCCTAAAAAACTATAAAATTTTGGTGGAGCCGCTGATTGCCGTTACTACTTCTAGCTTTAAAAATTACATAACTCTACTATTGTTGTTGATTAACGGTTAAATAGATTAACTGGTTGATGCAAATTCTCCTTGCCCGTCTGGAGTGGTACCTTAGTGGCAGTTAACCTTGCTCTTGTAACTTCGCCATCAGTTCCCACGGGGTCAATTAAGGCCGGCTTTATCCACCTTTCGGCGGCGACTTCACAATATTAATGGCTGGAAAGCGGAGCGCCTCCAACGATTTGAATCACGACAACTGGAACCAGGAAGATGAACCGGAGGAACGGGGCACATTCCAAAAGGCTTCGGACAATGCCTTGAAAAGCCGTATAATTAAAACTGCCAGAAGGCGAAACCCCATTCATGTAAGTAATTGGGAAGCACAATTGTGTTGTGTCAGAATCGCAGTTAAAAGGGTAATTTTCCAGAGTGAAGATGGTGAAACCACTAGCGCCTTTGGAAGCTTTTCCGGCTTCTCAACCAAGCCAGTTAGTGCAGACTTTTCATTCCTCAAAGATGTTATCAACCCGCACGAAGCGACTAAGACAAACGGCGTTGGCAAAGCCGAAAGTACGACTAAATCAGAACCAAGTGCATCATTTTCACAAACTTTAACGGGAAGTATTTTCGGTGCTTCGACCCCTTCTAACCGTGCAAATATATTTGGCGCTAGTACAACCGCTTCAAGTAACACATCAGTTCCTATCTCCCCAATCGGTAGCAAAAAATCTGAAAAATACTGCTCCAAATTGAAAGGTTTGAACGAGAGCGTATCTAAGTGGATAGCAAAGAAAGTGGAAGAAAATCCGCTGATTAGTTTACAGCCGATCTTCAAAGACTACGACCGGTATTTGGAGGATATTGAAAAAGAGGAAAGCGAAAAGACGGCCAGTACCGTAGCACCAGCACTAAAAGCTAATACTGCAGATGAACAAAGCGCTAAGAAAACTTCGGACGATCCACTGAAACAAGAACAAACTACAACCATTCCAACGTTTAAATTCGGGGCTTCTAGCACAGCGGTCAGTTCCACTGGACCAACCTTCACTTTTGGGTCCGCCGCCAATGCTTCCGGCAGCACAAAATCCTTTTCATTTGGTACTTGTTCTGTGCTCTAAAGTTCCAGAAGGTTAAGCTAATTTTTTTCCAAATTCACAGGTTCAACCACCACCAACTTAACTTCGTCGATTTCGTTTGGAAGCAGCAATCCATCAACAGGCTTTACATTTAATCCTTCTGCTGCGGGAAGTGGTTTGGGAGATGGACCCAAAACTGAGACAGGTAATTCACAATTAAATCAAATGATTTCCCTCGTTCCAAAGTTGACTTTCGCCTCATATTGTGCAGATAAATCAAAAGAAAATGACGAAGACGCTGAAGATGAGCCCCCAAAAGTGGAATTCAAGGCAGTGGTCGAAAGCGATTCAGTCTACTCAACCAGGTGCAAAGTTTTCGTTAAAAAAGGCGAGAACTTCGGAGATAGAGGAGTAGGAAACTTGTATTTAAAACCCATTGAAGGCAGTGGCAAGTTCCAAGTAAGTTGACCAGGATTCAGGGAAAATTTCAGATCATTTAATTCCCTCAATTACAGCTTGTTGTCAGAGCGGACACGAATCTAGGCAACTTATTGCTGAACTTTATACTTTCCGAAAGCGTGCCCACAAAACGATTGGGTAAGAAAGATGTTATGGTTGTGGCCATTCCTACTCCAGATGCACAGCCGCCGCCCACCCCGGTGCTTCTACGGGTAAAAACGCCTGAAGACGCCGACAAATTGCTGGAGGTGTTGGAGGAACATAAAAAGTAGCTGTATAAGAGATAACGTGGTAATAAATGAAGGTTTTAGATAAGCATCAGTCATTTTCCGACTCTAAACGCAAATAAAACAACTCTGCACTCTATTATATGCAAAATATGTACATAAAAATGATAACACTATACAAAGACACATTCGAAATACCCCATCCATACCCAAATTTGTACATTTTTTATATCAACTAGTACGGGAAATAAAGTTGCCAGTTTGTATAAATATTAAATTATGGCATCGATGTAAAGAAAATTAATTAAATTAAGATACAATTTGAACAGTGAGCCCCGTAAAATTAACCCTGTATTGCACAAAATCAATTCGGAAGTTCGGATCCAAATTCAAATAAAGTTTTACATATACCCTTACATAAACAAGGCCAAAAAGGGCTTCCCGTATACAATCACACGGTGATTGAAATAGTCCTAAAATTAACTTGCCTTGAGACCAATTATTAGTAATTATGTTGCCTTCTATGTCTATAATACTAGACGTTAGTCGTTCCCCAAAGGCCCTATCACAAGTTTATCCAGGTTAATATTCGTCAGCCCCATTTCGATTTGCTTCATATGAACCTCCACACAATTCTGGAATACTTGCTGATTGGCTGGGCTGAGTTTCTTCTTTATATTTTGCACAGTCCCTTATAGAAAACCACGATTAACTGCTGAAAAATTTAATAACAGCTGTAATTGCTCACCTTCCAACACTTGCAGCTCGTATGGACTGTGGTCATTATCGGCCAAGTTTTTAATTTGCAACATCAAGGCAGTTAGGTCATTTATCAAGTCGAGAACTCTGGGGTTCCGGCAAGGGCCTTGAAAAAACAACGTGGATTAGATAAAGTTGCCGATTGGATTAAATCGGGGAATGCACCTTTATCTGTCATGTTCACAGAGTTGTGTCGGGCGACGATTTCTTTGGCTTCTTCTTTGCACTTTTCTCTTAACAGTGAAGGAGTCAGCATTGCAGCTACACTTGCTTCTGGTGCTATTTCCTGACAACAAGCCTAAAACCAAGAAATCCTTTTCTATAGATTTAGATAAACCTTGTTACCTTCCATTCAAATAAGTAAAAATATTCTAATGGAAAGTGACGACTGAAATGTCTACACTTCACAGAAAAACATTATTTACGAATTCCGTTCGCAGCATAAGTAAATATACTTTAAATTTATTAAACAAGTCTTGTCAATAAAGGTCGATGAATTCAACCGAAAATATCACGTAATATCACGCTTTGAAATGGAAATGGAAATTATTTAGTTTCCGGGCGTTTACCTGCATTTCATCTAAATAAACTTGCAAATCCGAGTTGAGCTTCTCCAGGTCTAACAAGATATGGGCATATTTTCGCTCAAAATTATCGCTGAGCGTTTCATCAAATGAATTCAGCTTTTCCGCTTCAGAATTCATCGTCTTCAACTGCTGAACGCAAGTTTTCTTCGCATTGAGGATTTTGGTGACTAGAACCATATTTTCCAGAAGTTTAACGGGAAATTGGCCCAATTTCCCTTCTTTGGCCGTTGGGATTAACATCGGACTATTGACTATTGAGCCTGCAAATGTTTGGCCATATGAAACAACTTGCTGGGAGTTGACTGGAAGCACAATGCATACCTGATAGTAAGGGGTCTCTGCTAAATGGTAACGTTTTATAGTTGGGGTTTTTATCAGAGGAATATGGCGGAAAGCCATTCAATCTCGGCCTAAATTTACTCTGGAAACTTAATATGCTTAGAGTTTCGGGGCTTTCGTTTGATAGCACCTCGTAATCAGGCACCGAATGCGTCCCGAGCCCGAATCGTTCGAAAGTTATACGATATGTATTGTTTGAGGGATCGACAGCATCTATGCTGCCAGTGTAGAGACCATCGGACGGCTTGCGAAGTCTGCAAATTTACAGAAAGTAAAAAACACTGCTCTAAATTGAGTTAAACAGTGTCATACCTTGCAGTTACTTTAGTGCCAATAACCAGCTGAGTGGGAACTTCAGAAGGCAGATCCTTAAAAGTCGTAAGATCAGTGGCTTTCCTCTGCTGTAGAGCTCTGATCTTTTTTCTTTTCTTTTCCAATTCCAATCGCTCCTCGTTGAAAAACGCCTGCGAACACCTTCTAGGCTTGCCCATCATTCTGCGAATTTTCCGCCACTCAGCACGGGTCAGTTCGCGCGTTTTCAACTCGGGAAAGGACTCCCTCAAGCAAATTTGAAAGTCGTTTTCGCCAGAGAAGAGACAACTGAAAAAAGACCGGCAACTTAACAATGATTTTGTAAAGTGACTACCGAAACTTACTGATCAATATTGCTGTAAAACCATTCGTAGCACACCCATTTATGGGCTTTGGGCAGTTTCAGCAGATTTCTTAGACGCATTCCGATCTTCTGGCCGATTCTCCGGTCGGGAGAATGCATTCTTGGTGGTGTGGCGATATTATTTATTATTCGTCTCGGGGATTTCGCTGGTTCAATGCGTTTTACAGGGGTTCGTTTGCTTGGCGTTGGTTTCAGCTTTTTCGCACTTGGAACCCTACGAGTTAAACATATCCCTCCTTAATAATTATAATAACAGCTGTATATGAAAAACTGTTCGTTTATCGATATCAACAAGCATTCGTTTTTTAGCTTAAAGATTCCAACCATTTAAATATAACTCTATGATACAGGATTTAAAGAAAAATTGCAGCTTTCGTCCGTCACGGCCATAGAAAAACTTTCCAGGCTCATTTCATGCGTTTTTTCGGATCTATGTAAGCTCAAAATATTGCCCACGCATTTGAAGACACCCTGTATAATCGCACTCAAAGTATGGTAGATTCAATTTGAATAAAAAACTGTTTTCCTTGCACATTCAGATGATTCAACTACCTGCAGTTAGTTATCTTATCGCTTATCTAGATGGGCCATTGTATGTATTAAAACACCATTTAGGTACCACTAGAGGTTTACAAAGCGCAAAACTCTAATCTTCGCATAAAACTCGTCTGACTTGAGTAACAACTCTTGCGAAGAAACTTTTCCAGTAGTTCCACGACAAACAGGCCAATATGGCTAAGTCCCAAAGTGCATGTAAACGAACTTACCTGTGATGGGGGGTATTGATAATATCATCGTCATAAAACATTTTATTTTTCTTCCGAATCCTCGCAGGCATTCCCCGAGCATTTAGGACTTGGGTGGGCTGAGTTGGAGTGGGTTTTGGAGGAGGGACTGTGCCCACTCTTTGCAAGCCCAGGGCTGCGGGGCCCAGCTTGCTCGGATCATCGTCAATCAGAAAATTATCATTGGGATCATCCACTTCCATCACTTCCTCCTTAATGTGGATCTGGTTCTCGTTCGTCATTGTCCCAGTTTGTTGCAAGGCAGTTTTCTGGATTGTAAATACTTCGAAGATAACCTAAGTTTTCACTAATGTTTGTTGTCTGAACTGGAGGCCCAAATGAAGCATGTGGCTAACGGAGCCCGCGATCACACTGCGTTTATCCCTGTGAGGGTGAATTGCTGTTTCGTCTGGGAAGTTGCTCTAAACTAACGCGAAAATTTGAATTTGGCATAGCACCATTTTCAAATTTAAATATAGAAGGCTGGGAAAACTCAAACACTTCTAGAAGACTGCTGGGGTGGAATTGAACACTACAAACGGCCCCGACTATCGTCACGTGGATGTTTTATCCGAATTACCTGCTCGTAGCCGAAACAGGCGAATTTCTGGTACAATTTTAAAAATTTTTAACTACACGGAGATTTATTTGATTCCATCCGCCATGTTAACGTAGATCTAGTGGATTGTGGGTAATGCTCCGACATGCGTATTGTCATGTTGCCGTCTAAAACTTTGAATTTTCGGCTTTAAATTTCACGGTTTTGCCAAATTTTCTGCCCAATATCAGCACAAAATCTCAAACTAGCTTCGAAACCACATGCATCTTCTGAATTTTGGGAAAACTGACGCGGAAATCGCAGTGATTTTCATTTTATTCGGTTGCACGATGCGCATAAAGCAGGCGTCACTCAAAGGCCAAACGAAACATCGTACTGGGCGTTGCCGGATTTATTCCTGAAACTCCAGCCTTTTTTGAGGAGTTTTTCAATATGGCCCCCGTTGGTGGGGCACCAGCAAATTTAAACCAGGACTATTTTTTCAATTTGGACTAAAAAAAATCCGTCAATTTTTAAACCTAATTTTAAAAAATTGTGCTACAGTGTCATGATTTTGTTAATTTTTGGACCGGTTTTTGCCCCGTGTTTTTTGTGCGGAAACCCTTGTGTTTCTAGGCGCCAAATTCGAAAACTTTCAGCTACTAACTAAATAAACTCGATAAAAATACAGAAAACTCATCTACGCAAAGTGTGCAACTATTCAAACATTCTTCTCGCAAGGTGAATCCATACGATCGACTCGCCAAAGAAGGTGAAAGTTAAATTACTAAACAGTCAACTATGTCGCCTTGAAGAAAATATTGTGTTAGTTCCCATCCCATTTGAGATGGATTTTCACGCTTACTTTATGTGCATTTGTGTCTTTTTCCTGTTCAATTTCGTGGCCTTTTCCAATGGTAAGTTAGATGGCCCTCAGGCCGGATATTCATCGCAGGTTATTGGCCTGCTTAAGCTTAAGTAACTGTTATCGTACAGTTCTGAAGCAAAGCTGTGCCCAAACAAAGATCAAATTTACCTTACTTAATGGGAATTAAAGACGCTTTCAACAGAGGAAGGTTTAAAGAAGCTGCTAATCCTTAAATAAAATTAAAATTGCATAATATACAGGGTGACGTAACATTAAGTACCTACTAAAAATTGAATTGAAACTGTATAACAATACGCCCTGTTATGGAGATACAGAGTGTTACATATTTTTTAATTAGTTTTTCGGCTGTATGTTAGGAACTAGATGAGCGGGGCAAATTTTTCGTCAGTGAGTATGGGGTGGATTTTAGGGTTGAGTAGGACTATTTTGCCTCTAATTTTTACGCATTTGAAACAAATGGCAATTTGATTACGCATTTCGATAGTCCAAGGTTTTCTGCAGAGAAAAGGTCCCCTGTTCGAAAGCTCTTCTCCCAGTGGTTTTAGAGGAAAAATGGCACGAATTATAATGGAGTCATCGAATGAGGCTCTCTAAAACGTGAAAATCCCTTTAATCGTCCAATATTTTTCAAAAATTCTGACTCAAGATGAGCTTAAAGGATAAATGGCCTAGGAAAGTGAAGGAAAACCCTCAATATTTGAACTAGAAATGTTGGTTTATTCTCACTCTTTGTTAACATTTTAATCTGATTAAATTACGCTAAAACAACAAGAAAGCTTATTGACAAATTGCACAAAAAAAACATCCAAAGCGTTAGTAAAAACGCACAGAATTTGATGTTAAATCCTTAGTTTGCCGCAACACTCTGCAGAGCGAAGAACTCGCTTTCCCAACTGGAAAACACAGGCTTCCTGGTTTTTGCTACATTTGCGGCTTTTTCCAGGTTTGCAGAGATGTTTCATGTGCCGATCAAGAGGAGAGTTGGGCAGCTGCAAAGACCCATTCGTAGCCAATGTAACTCTAGTGGAAAACAAGCAGGAAATCGGCATTGAAACGGTACCTTGCGCCTCTGGCTGGTGTGGAAAAATCGTAGAGAGCGAAAATGCTGCAAAGGAAGGTAAAGCTCTAGAACTTCTAGTTTCCAGTGCCCCAGGGAGCTGAACGAAAAATTACTGTTCCAGAATATGGAGTGGCGACTCAAAGAATCTGCTTGCAACGAGGTCCTTCGGACAGTGAAGATCGCTGCGCCTACACCAAGTGGAACTATCGAAAAGTGCTGATGTGCTTCTGCAAAGGGGATCTGTGCAATGGGGGCGTCAGCTTCACCCCCCAAGCGGCTGTTTATGCATTATTAGTCTGTATGTTTTTAATTTTTTAGTTGCTAAGTTAAATCAACATCCTAGCTCAAATTGAAAAGGTGTTTTTGTAATTGAAAAAGCTGTTACTCTCACGAATCGAGCCTGTTCGCTTGAACCGATTCCAGGGAGAACCCAGCCTTAAGGATCCCAACCGGTTTGGAGCCAGATCGTTGTCTAGCCTCTGGTGCTGGTTGAAAAGCAGCGATCTTATATGGGGAATGTCTTTGAAAAACAATTCCTTGCTATAAAGATAGTCTGCTTTTCGTTTCGCATCGATGCCAGTGCGCAGGAAAGGGTCCGGATAAGCTGAAAAGCAATGGAAAATTATGCAAATAAAAACATCGAAAGAAGACAGAAACCCACATAAACCATCACTGAAATCCGGCGTGTAATGCGCGCTGAAGGACTTATCAAAGTCCAGGGCTTGGTGCTGAAAAAATCCTTGTTGATGCTTCCAGGTATTAAAGTCGGTGGAAATCGGCGACAAGCCAGCGGAAAATAAACTGCTGGAACCTAAAAAACACACATTTTCAGCAGCTTCTTGCCTGGAAAAATCACGAATTTACCCGAGAATTTGGGGCTTTGGAAATCGGCGTGAAATTGATCGGTGCGGGCTGCAAATGATGTGGCAGGCTTGAGAAACTGCACTCTGTTGAACTGCGGTGGTAATCCATGTGCCAAACTTGCCCAAAAGAGTAGAAATACCATGTGAAGATCAATCTGAAACAGTTTTGAATTACTTTCAGGTTTGCTCAGTAATTTTTGGCGCGACGACACGACACGAAGCGCATGGGCAAAGGTGATGAGCAAGCCAACAACTTTTTTTTCAAAAATTCATACTTTTTGCTCATTCAAGTGGAAACTTGAAATTTTCATCAAATATTGCAGACAATGGAAGCACAAGACGCGGAATTTTTCCTTAAATTTGCACCAAATTTCGAATTTTTGCAGCTTTGTACATGTGGGTCCTTAAATGAATGTTTTCACACATCTGTAAGCTCACATTTAAAAACTTTATATTTCTTCAGTTAGATTAAGCACAAATTTGAAACTTTCACAGGACATTGCAGAAATTTGGCGTTCTAACAGTTGAAAATTTCAGTCAATTCGCACGAGCTTTTTAAATTTGGCAACTTAGGGAATGCGGGGCTAAAAATATTTTTTCCTACAACTGCATGTTAGCCTCTGAAATTATGTCTGTGCAATAGGGCAATCTACAACGAAGCTTGTTACGCCACTGAAATAGGGTTTTCTTCTTCGCATAGTGCGGAAAATTTCGGTAAAATCAAAGTGGAAACTGAGTTTTTGCAATTTTTCATACACCAAGCTGCTTAAGTGCCTCTAAATATAGTGGAGCAAACTGATGTTCAAAAAATTATTTCTATGCAATCGGACAATGTACAACGAACCTTGTTACGGCACTGAAACGAGTTGTTCTTGTTCGCATAATGCGGAAAATTTCAGTAAAATCGAAATGAAAAATGGGTTTTGGCGATTTTTCATACACCAAGCTGCTTAAGTGTCTCTAAATATAGTGGAGCAAACTCATTTTCAAAAAATAAATTCTGTGCAATCGGACAATGTACAACGAAGCTTGTTACGCCATTGAAATGAGTTGTTCTTGTTCGCACAATGCGGAAAATTTCAGTAAAATCGAAATGAAAACTGAGTTTTGGCAATTTTTTATACACCAAGTTGCTTAAGTGTCTCCAATTGCAAATGCTGATGCGAAAATTATTACTTCCACCCATCTGCAAGCTCACTTTTAAAAATTCAGATTTCCCAAGATCGAGCTAATCTAAAGGTGAAAATTTTACTGATTTTACTGATTTGAGCGTAAACTGTCTGCTATATTTTATAGCAGACAGTTTACGCTCAAATCTGTAAAATTTAAATTTATTTGGCACTGTTGAACATCCAATGAGCTTAAAAATTATCGGGGAAGAGCGGGAAAAAATCTTACTTTAACGAGCTACATTTCCAAAACAATGCCATTTAGAGAAAATTCTTCTAGTCTGTCCGTTGCTAAAGTTATCAAAAATAGATAAATCACCTTGTATATGAACTCTTTTTTAGAAAGGAAATTTATGATTTTCCTAGGGACCTTCAAGCCAGGACTTTTTGTGCAGCGTAGCCAGATATCAACTATAAAGTGCGAAAGTTATATTAAAAGATACATTTTATCATGATTTTTCTACTTACAACTGGAAGAAGGAAGAAACGAAGCAAAAAGCAATGAAAATTAAAATAGAATCAACCCATTTTGACTATTAGCTTTCTAGTTTATTTCACATCTGGCCTACGTTATTAGTAAATGACCCAATTGGGGCAATTCAATCGCACAAAAACAAGGATCTCCTGAAAATTCCTTTCACTTCAATGAGAAATAATCGGATTAGTAACTAATCTTCATTGAATGGGATTTAAGTAATAAATTATTTCAGTGACCTCATCAGTGGATCGAGAGCTGCACTAAAGAATGAAGTTGAGTGGTTTTGTAATTATTGATCGACTATACCAAATGAAACGCAGTAGAAATACTAAGAGCCCGAATTTCGAAAACCCATTAAAAATAAATAATAAAGACCTTTTAAAATCTATACAATATTATCAATGCTATTAGTCGTGACAAGTATTGACCATTTCGCAACTGGTAAATTAACGTGCTCCAGTTCTTCCAAGCAGAATGACTCGTCTGATTGACATTTTCAATAATTTCAGATTTTTACGATTGTTGTAGGCCTCGATCTATTCAAATTCAAATCTTTTAGTCGTTTAAATAACAACGAAACAGTTTAGGCGAGCACGGATATATTCGATTTTTTTTGTATGGGAAAATATTTCACTTGCAACTTTCACATAACCCATTGAATACAGTTTCTTCATCTTGAACCATCCTTCAAACCGTTAACAATCATCTCATTTTATCTAATAAAGTAACCCGATGATATAATCCGGGCAATGTTTTGGTATTTGGCAGATGCGGTCTTATGCAATTTAAACAGCAAATACTAAATAATAATTACAGCGATATGCTAAAAACCCATTTATTTAGATTTTCCTGTTCTGGCTTCTGGTTTTATGTGGATAAAGGTGGCAGTATTGGCTCCACGTTCTCTTATAAAGTTCAAATTACATCCGGAAATTCAATTCTATTTTCTGTAGAGTTGTAAAGGCTGTAGAATTTGCTCAACATTTCTAACCCCTAGAAAGTTAGACGCTAACATTCGATATTTTGGTTCATATTTTGAAAATATTTGTTTGGTGAAAAGGACTATTTCGGTAAAGCTTTGCAAGGGATATATTTTTTTCTTCAAGTTTTGCTCAAAATTCCAAATTTACATATTTCATTCATATCTTGAAAACGGTTAAACATTTGTAGCCGGTCATAGGGACTATTTCAATAAAACTTTGCAAGGGCTATATTTCTTTTTTCAAGTTTGCCTCGAAATTTGTAACTGCTAAAAAGTTAGAACCAAAGTTTGGACATTTTGATTAATATCTCGGAAACTGCTCGAAATATCGCAATTACCATAAGCATCAATTCGATACAGCGTTTTATGATCTATACTTTTTCCTTTAGGCTTTACTGAAAATTCCTAACTTCTAAAAAGTTACAAGCAAAAGTTGGACATTTTGAGTGATATCTCGAAAACCTGAGAAAATATCGCCGTTTCCATAAGAACTAGTGCGATAGAGCTCTTAAAGGGCCATATTTCTTCTTGTATATTTCATTCTAAATTCCTAACCCTTAAAAAGTCCAAAAAAATTTCGACATTTTAATTCATATCTCGGAAACTACTCGAAATATCGCAATTTCCATAAGAACCAATTCGATACAGCGTTTCTAATCCTATACTTTTTTCTTGAGGCTTTACTGAAAATTCCTAACCTTTAAAAAGTTACAAGTAAAATTTTGACATTTTGATTAATATCTCGGAAACCTGAGAATCTAGCGCCAGTCCATAAGAACGAATTCTATAGAGCCTTTACAGGGCCATATTTTTCCGCGTGGATTTCACTCTAAATTCTTAACCTTTAAAAAGTTAGTAGCACAATTTGGGAATTTGATTCATAACGCAAAACAGGCTGCAAATATCGGGTTACTTGCAAGGACTATTTAGACTTTGTCTCGGTCTTTTCCAATAAAGTACCCAAACAACCAAAATTTGGGCAGAAAAAATTAAAATTCTCGCACTAATCGTGCGGTACAAGAAATAACACATTTTCGAACTACCAGTCCAACTCTGACCATATATTTACGTCCGAATTAAATGACTTTAAGCATCGATTACGTAATGGCCCATAAACCCAAGAAGCGCATAAAATTACCCATTACCATCTATACATTAGAAAACCTCCAATTAGCCAAAGGTGCATGTTTAAAACACAATACTATTTATAATGAACGGTACCTTCGGAATAATCTTTGTATATTCTCGTGAAGACTTTGCCCGAAGCGCAATGAGCCAATGAAGTGTAATAACGATTCAATTCAAAGGAAAACGGTTTTGAAACCGAAATACTATATGGAACATCATTTACATGCACAAAATTGCGAAAAGAGCAAATAGCAAATCGTCACCATGAACTTTGCGGATTTTTGCCAATCACTCATAGTGGAAATTGAAAAAATCTGAAAAACGTTTCGGTTGCAAAAATCCCATAATTGACCTAGGAAGTACCAGATTTACCGCATTTTATAGAGTTTCGGATTTGGAAACCCGTTTGGGGTTCAACCGGATTTGGGCTTTCTGCACAAAGTTAATTGAATTTAAAGCCCAAAAATATTTCAATACCTTGCAAGTAAAAATAGCAAAAATAAACGCTCTCAGTGAATATTTTTCCGTCCTTGTATGAACACCCTGTATGTTTAAGTCGTATGTATTAAAGTGAAACGTTGGAATTAAACTGAATAACATAAAATGAAAAAATGGTTTTGGAAAACCCTCAACCACTTTTCCTTTTAGGGCCGGATCTTTCATCTTCATTCTGCATAATTTTATTCGCGGGTTTAACATTTGCTGCCCCTAGAAATTTTCCGAATGAAACTACCCACAACTAAGTATAGAGAAAAAAACCATCTAATTCAATTAACAAAATCCACTTACCATCTTGCTTCACCAAGACTTCGCTTATTTATTTAAGGGCACAAAAACTGCCAATTTGTTGCAGGTTCCTCTAGTGAATGATCTCGGTTTCTTCAATTAAAGAAAACCCTGATGATCATGGCAAGATAACTGTTTGAAGATCGAATTTTCCCACTGCTAGTAAATCAAAGTCATCAGCGCAAGATGTAAATCCGCCTATCAGAACTAACACGGGATCAACATAAGTACTGCACAGTGAAAGACTATACAAATCACATAAAACCGAAATAGAAGAGATCGTACTGGTCTCGGATGCACGCATTATCCCACCTTCGGGTTTTGCATCATCTTAGGGAATTTTTTCACGGAATTTGCTAGTGTGGGACAAACAACAAATACAATTAATACAAAAAGTCACATTTTTGGATAATTTCTTTATTTACCTCGTTTACCTATTCAGTTATTCCTCGACAGGTCATTAAATAAACTCTCCATAGTCCAAATTTCCTGGCTGGGTTGCACATCCTTTTCCGGATACAGTTTGCTGGAAAGAAACGACAAATCGATGTTTCCCAAATTTCCGAAAACTATCTTGTCCCCTTGTCCGGACCCCAACTGGTTATCCAGCTCCTTATAAGTGGACTTATCTACAGTAACTCTACGGCAAAACAGGAAATTATCCAGAAGTCCTTCCAGTTGGTTTGAAGTGAGTTACGTTGGTTTCACATCGGGCAGGTTCAAGGGATCATCCTGCAAGTCGTCAATGTCTGGAATAACTGGAATATCATCCCCATCGCTTTTAGGGGACTTGTTGGCGGACTGGAACCTTTCCCTACAACACCCTATTTAATTCAACTAAAAAAATACTGGGTTTGCTGCTCACAACTCTATAATGTTGGTGGCACTTCGGCTGGATCTGCAAGAGCTAAATGCTTTAAAATATTCCAGAACTGTAAATGGAAAAGTACTTGGCAGATTTGCTTCCTTCTTCGCCCCAAACGCTGCTTTTCCTGGGCTTAATCAGGGGTTTATCTTCTTGTGGATCGGTATCAAAAGGATTGGAATCAGCGAAAAAGTTGCCATTATTCGCTTCTTCGGGTGTATTGGGGTTGGATCTACGTCCTTGTTTCGGCAGTTGCTGAAAAAATGATTGGAGATCTATTCAGCAGGAAGAGTTACCTGGGAATTATTTCCACTAAAATATAGATACATACCCCGACAACATTTTACATAAAACCAAATTTAATATTCAAATCACTTTGCTATAGATATACCGACCTTTCTACCTGCCAGTAGGTCAATATCCTCATCCCAGTTCATCTTCGTTCTGCAAAAGAACGTCTAGAAGAGCTTTCACTTGATGTTCTTTCCCAAAAAAGCTTGATTATTTGTTTAAATTAATTCAATTTTATTGACAACCAGGCGTCTTTGTCTGCTGATTGTTTGCATGAAAGACGCTGTTGCTATGGTACCCAGAGGACAGATGATGGTTCGTTTCAAGAATGTCTTCATTCAGGCAACCAACTTTACGTTTCGGTGTTTGTGAGTTTATTTGTGTTATCAATTCATTCGTTTAATCTAGGAATTTATAGTTGGTTTGCAATCAGAACGTAGTAAAGTAAAATTGTTTATTTCAAATTATAAAAGTTATTGCTTTCTTCAGTTGAATTTTCCATTTGCCTTGATGTAAAGAGAGCAAGCAACAAAGAATCAAAAAATGGAAATTGTTGTAAAAGAAACATGTAAAATGGTTCTCATTTTGTAAATGTTTCGTCTATTTTTTTTAGGAGTCTGGTGTCATTCCCATTGGCATCTTTCAAAAATTTTACAATTTTTAGTAATTAAAATTTGATTCAATTCGTGTTTTTTTTTGGTTTATATTTAATTTAACTTACAGCACTTTCTACTTGTTTATTCTTGAGTTTAATTATGAGAACAAATGTATATTTTTCAGAAGAACAATTCTAAAGAGCAATTTAAGTAAAATTGAAAACGCTCCATGAAAGTTGGGAAAAACCTAGGAAAAAACGATACTTTGAAACTCGTTTTCTTGTTTAAATTCAACTAACAACTATTTTGCTTTATTTTTTAAACGACTATAGGAACAAATGTATATTTTTTGTTGACATATTTGATTAATTTGCCTATTTAATTATAATGTTATATGAGTGCTTAACCAGAAAAAAAAATTGAAACATTAGGCAGATTTTTGTTTGAATTTTATAGACAATTTTAAAGATTTGATGAAAATACGGGAGTAAGTCAGTTTTCCTAATTAGGATTATACAGTGTGATTCAAAAATACTCTAACCAACTGTAGGAGGTGATTAGTGCATTGATTTTAAGACAAAAAGTTCTAATTAAGTTAAATTAGTGATAAAAAAATTCAAAAATTTGTCAGATTTCCCTGGACGACTTGAGATATTTTATTGACATTTTCAATTGATTTATAGTTATCGAATGGCCATGTTTCTATTGAATTACATATTTTTTTGGTTCGCCAGTAGCTCGCGCAATGAAATGACATTCAATATTTTTGAAGAAGAAAATTGTACCCCACGGATTGATTTTAAAAAAGAATTCACCCGTTTATTGCTTGCTTAATTCGCAATAAAAAAGCTCTCTTGACTTTTCTTTGCACAATGCATCATTTTCGAGTAAAAAAAATTAAAATCGTATACTTTGTCAATAATTTGAAACTTTGGAATTATTGAGGATTTATTTCAATGATTAGCTAGTTGTTTGCATGTTAAAGCTTGTCTTTGATTTCATTAAGAATTTCAAATTAATCGTCAACTTTACGGTTTTGAACGAATAATTTTTTTATACTTTCAACTACTATCAACCTTTAATGGAAGCTTAAAAATTGAACTATTTTCCAACAAACCGGTGATTCTGTGAGTTTTTGGCTCATTATTGGATTTACTTTTGAGTACAAGTGTCTGCATAGACAGGTTGATTGTGAATCAACCTGTCTATGCAGACCTTATAGACACAGATCAGGGGCGTGTAGAGGACCTCAAAACAAATCGAGTTTCCATTTAAGGGTGTAAAGTTTGAAAAAAATGTTGGTATTTTCTCCTTAACTCCTACAGTTTATGAGATATTTTGCTCAAATTTAACGTAGGCTGATATTTAGACCCTATACCCTTAGCTAAGCCAAGTGGTTGTAAAAATATAGAGGGTGTTCTTTTTTCTAGAGGCATACCCTCTTGTACTTCCCCCAAACTTTTTTGTAGTGCGCCACTACTGACTTAAACCAAACAAATTTTTGAATTTGTTGTTAAATTTAAGAACGTATTTTTTTTATTTTTCTCTTGCAGTTTTTTCATATCTGCCTTCGTTTTCCAGTAATTTGCACAAGCATAAGTCCGTGTAGGGCTTCTGGGTGATTTCCTATGAATTTTTTTATACATTTTTTGTGTCCCTTTGTTCACATTTTTCTGTGAAAGCTTCAAGTGCAAGTTGAAGTTAAAATAGCTAAAATAGGCTGACAAGTTAACTTTAAAATTATTTTTTTTAACTTTAATTTAATTTACAGTAATTGAGGTTTATCGGCTGTAAGCTAATCCAAATAAAAATACACAAAAATGTAACGAATATTTCAATTTATTATGAAATTTATTTCTTTCACAAAAAAATGTGAACAAAAGGACGCAAAAAAATTATAAGAAAATTCATGAAAAATCACCCAGGAACCCTACATGGACTTATATTTGTACAAATAACTCGAAAACGAAGACAGATACGAAAAAATCGCAAGAGACCATAAACTCCTTAAATTGAGCAACAAATTAACAAATTTGTTCGTTCGAAGTCAGTGGCGCACCACAAAAAAGTTCAAGGGTTAAAAGTGGGTATGTCTCTACAAAAACGAACACCCTGTACATTTTTTTTAGCCATTTAGATTTAGACAAAACCAGTCGTTTTACATACGGGTAAAGAGTCTAAACATTAGCCTACCTTAAAAATTTGAGCTAAATATCTCATAAACTGTAGGAGTTAAAGAGAAAATACCCAATTTTTTTGAAACTTTAACACCCTGTATCTGGTACAATGGGCCTGAGAAAAAAAACTTAAATGGAAACGCGACCTGTTTTGAGGTACTCTACACGCCCCTGCTCTGTGTCCATAAGGTTATGAATCGCCCTGTATACAAGATACAAAAATAGAGAAAAATACAAGAAGTTCAGAACGGAACATGGTTCAAGTATTATATTTTTCCATTTATCACATTGAACTGGAGACACGAAAATAACAAAAAAATTGAGAACAAAGTTTGGGCCTGTAACAAAAGAACTATAAAGTACTTTCTTGTTTCTTCTTTTGGTCTTATTCGGGCTCGTTCAGGTATTTTCAGTGTTTTCGGCTTGAAAATAAGTCTTTGTTCGAATTCGAAGACCCTTTTTTCGACTCTTCTTTTATACTTCTAGACTTTTGGAAATGTGTTTTTTAAGCTCTCGGGAACCATAAACAATTCCAGGTTCCAGGCCCCGTAAAGAACTAAAGCAGAAAAAGGAAGAATGTAAATCATTGATGAAGAAACCCCATTTTCCGTACTTGGTAGAGAAACCCCGTACATAAAACGGCAACAGCCGTCAACCAGCAACAAAAAGAAAGTGCGAATAAAACAGACGATGGCAAGTCCACCGTTCTTGTGCAACAGAAGCAAGAAATCCTGCTGTGCAGTACCAGCAAAGCCGTACAGTGGTACGGGTTTTTCGAAATGATTATGTGGCAAACGGCGATTTTTGGACTTGTGACTTTGGTGGTTCTCAGTAAGGGTGAGTGTAGTTTTTAACCGGTGTGGCACACAAGAACCAGCCAATGGGACCAAGCCACTTTCAGCTACTTTGTTACAACCCCTGGCTGCTTTCACGCAATCTAAAAGAGTTTTTTTTTGAGAAATTCGCTCAAAAACCTTCCAAAAGTAAAGAGTTGTGCATAAAAGTGCCCTCGAACAAGGTACGTATCGAGTTGAAGACTAATTAGGTGGGTGCAGTGATAATTACTGTGCAACCTTGAGACAGAACCAACATTCCAAAAACTAATGGATTCTTTGGTTTATACGATAAGAAATGTGTGATTACCACTAGGATTTAATTGGACTGAACGTAAAAGGGACAAACCATCAAAGAGCAATCTGTGTAGGGCTGTTTAGGGTCGAAGGTGAACGAAAAACATATTTTCTGGGCGCAAAAGCCCAACTAAAATAATACTCCTTTGCCTCTTTTCTGAGTTTTGTCACATTCCACTTCAAGAAAATAATGACCAAATCGAGGCAAACCGCTTTTGAAAGCAAGCTAGTGCGAATCTAAAAGTCTAATCAATGATTAAGTTGCACGTTTAAGGTCAAATTTTGATGGATTTTCTGCTGGCGAGATACAGATTTCAATGGAATTGTAAATGTCCAAAACTCCTGCTGTTTGGGTGATTTTTGCGTTTACTTGGCGCGCCAGCTTTATTTGCTAACATAGCTTTCTACCAGTAAAATAAGATCGTTGAAGAATGCAGTACCCATTTAAGATTTGTTTTTTTCTCTCGCTAAATTGCCTACTTCCAGTTGAATTACGTTTTGTCTTAAGCTATAGGTGACTTTTTCCTTTGTTACGCAACCTGCCCGGTTCAATAAACAAATTATTATTCCGTACAACCAGGCCAATTGTTGCATTATTTACGAGCAGTAGCCTCACAACGGCTTGGCATTTTTGGGTTCTCATGGAGCATTTTTTTGGGAAAAAATCAATCAAACGAAAGTGTACAAACTGCAACCGTCTTATGTATATTCTCATATCATCACGTATACTTTCTATTTTAGCCTCGATTGTATATTACCAGATTACCGTATTTGTTGTCTACGAATTCGATCCGGACACACATCCACTATATGCGTTCAAGGTTTGCTTTTATGGGTGGAAAACTGCCAGGTTTATTCACAGAGCTGGAGAAATTTGGTGAAATTTTAAAACAAATATGTTCGAGTCGTCTGCTAATGAGGAATAACAACATTAGAGTCAAGCATTTGTCTATGGGAACGTGTGGCTTTCATTCACATTTTGTCCATCTTTAATCTTTAAACTACTTTTAGTTATTGCATCTCTCGTGCATTTGAAAGACGTTGTTGCATAGAAAGTGGATTTTTTTCATGTTTTCTAGTGTTGAAACCGTTCAAACAGTGTTCTATATGAGGGATTCTTTGCCACGCAAAATGGTCCTCATTTTTCTCAATTTACCAGATTTAAGTGGCAAATTAATCAATCACAGCTGCATGCACGAGCCAATGAAAAATCTAAGAAAGTATTTAGTAAAGGCGGGGAACAGATAAAAAATTAAAAGAGAGTGTGTGGAAATAAGCGGAAATTAATCCAAATACTGCTCATAGCAACTTAAAAATAATTAATAAAATACACCAAATAAACTAAGAATATTCTCAAGAATTAGTAAATATAATAATCTATTAAGCAAAGAAGGATGCATAGGTAAAAGTCGCGCTTTAAATTCATAAAGGGAAAAATCTAAAGAATAAACCAATTTAATTGAAATAGAAAAAAAGCTTTTGAAAAGTTCAGTTCTATAGTGTATTGACTATTTGGGCTGCTGATATTAATTTCATATGGGGAATCATTCAACAAATAAGTTAAGAGTTACAGTCAAGACAGGCAAAAAGATTGGGCCATGCTTAGGAAAATAAACAGGCGGAAAAAATAGATAGAAAACTTGCTTTGGTTTGGTAGTTTTTCCGCCGATATCAAATTTTTCAAAACTGCAAGGATGGGAAAGTTTGCAGCTTTGAAATGTTTGAAAGTGCGCGGATTTTTCTATAGATAATTTTTGCGATTTTTTAAACGCGCGCATCTGGGACTTTGATTAATCGTCGCAAGTTAAAAAAAATCCTATGGAAAACTGTAAACAGACAGCCACTTGGTATTAACGCCATTTAATAGAGAAATTGTTCATCTGAAAGTGTGGAAACTTGTATATTTTTGCATTTTTGATGGCCTTTTGTGGTGTCACGATATTTTCAAAAAAATGTTATTCAAAAAGCAAAATAGACTGAAAACTGGGATTAACACCATTGAATAGAGAAAAATTTTCACTATTTGAGTGGCAATTTCCAACGATTCCACTTGTTTCGAAAATTTTTGGCAATTTTTTTTACGCGCGAGTCTACAGCTTTAATTAACTGTCGGGAGTTTAAAAAAAAATCGCTATAGAAAATTAGAAGTCCATAGACAATCGGTATTAAAACCATTTAATTTAGCAATTCTTCCTCGTGAAGTGTGGAAATTTTCATATTTTGTGCATTTTTTGGCGGCTGTTTTCATACATGTCGCACCACTTTACGACTATGATATGTCACGATTTTTCACTATTTGAGTGGCAATTTCTAACGATTCCACTTTTTTCGAAATGTTTAGCATTTTTTTACGCGCGAGTCTACAGCTTTAATTAACTGTCGCGAGTTTTTCAAAAATTTGCTATCGAAAATTGGAAGTTGATAGACACTCCGCATTAGAATCATTTAATTGAGCAATTCTTCCTATTAAAGTGTGTAAATTTGCATATTTTTTTCAAATTTGGTCCATTTTGGGCAGCTATTTTCATACAAGTCGCATCACTTTTCGACTATGATGTGTCACGTTTTTCCCAAAATTTATGATTTGAAATACAAAACAGACTGAAAACGGGCATTGGCGCTATTGAATAGAGAAAACTTTGAACTATCTGTGTAGCCATTTCCAATGTTTCCAACTTTTTTCAGGAATTTTTGTCAATTTTGTATTCGCGGATTTTAGCACTCTTTCGCTTAAATCTAGTCGAAAAAACCGGAAGATTTTGAATCTTGAAATGTACTTTGAAAAGCTTGGAAATTTCTAACAAAATTGAAACTCTATGGGGATTGATCAGGAGAACGTAAAAATGTAAAACCCAAAGCACTGTTTCTACATATGAAATCTAACTGAACTTGACGCCGATTTCAAATATTCAAGGAATGGAAGATTAAAATATTTTCACCTATTAAATCTATTTTGAAGGCAACAAACAATTGCTGAAAGTAACGAAATTATAGGCCAATTAATCCGGAAAAGAGTCACAATGTGAACTTTTAGGAGCTAATCCGCTGATTCTTTCGCTCACTCTAAAACTTTCTTGTAAAATCTGCGGGAGAAATTAGTGAAATTTAACTAATTTTCACATACCAAATTGAGAATCTTGATACAAAGTCCGTAAATTGCACTATTTTCTTCATATTTCTCTTCTTTGCTGTATTTCAAGAAACAGACAATATCTAATTTAAATATCCATATTAAAACTACCATCGAATAAGCCTCAACTTTTGCTCACCCTGTATGTTTCTTCCTATAAAAACCCCATTCATTTGTGCTAATTATAAATGCATTCTGTTTTTGATTGTAAGAAACTTAACACAATTTAAATATTTTTAATCCATATACACAGTGATTAAAAATTCCGCTCAAAGGCGGCAAGAGAAGATATAGTATAGTATAAACAAAAAAGCCATTTCGTCAAAATTAGATTGTTTAAATTGCGGTCATGGTTTTGCATAAAATTTCACCAAAACTTACATTTTTCTTTAAGCGACTGCTTGCTTTAATTTTCGACCATAATTGAATTTTTTTGAGGTTTCTCGAGTCGCTTTGTATTGACCAGCATCCTTAATTGTCACACAATCTGTATGGAAAACGAATCATATTCTGGCGTAAAAAATCTGCCCCTGAAAGTTTTGTATCGCAGTTTCAATGGCTTAATTATACTAACAGTGGAAGCAGCTTATTCTATCGTTGTGTCCATAGAAGAGACACACTCCGATTGGCTGGAAGTGTTTTTTCTACCTGATTTTTATCTATAGGATCTTTACAGTTGACGGTCAAAAAAAAGAGGATGACTTCCAATGTCCTTCCGCGACTGGAACGGGCAACTTTGCAGATCCGGCCACCTGCCGAAGATTCTATCAAGTAATTTTCCCTAAAACTCTTCTTGAGTCCTCATTAACGGTGTTTCCTTCTGCAGTGCGTGGATGGATACCCGTACATGAACCGATGTCCTTCTGGCCTGTTCTTTGACGACATCAGCAAGTTTTGCACCTTCAAAAACGAAGCTAGATGCGGTCCGATAGCTTCGAGTAAGCTTAATTTGGTGGCAGTTTTTTCGTAAACTCATCCGCGTTCTTCTGTAGCTCCCGCTCCCATTACTGAGCCTCCAACAGATCTGGCGGAGAAATGCAACAATGAAGAGTGCCAGCTCCCGTACTGCTTCTGCTCGAAGGATGGCACGGTTATTCCTGGAAACTTGGAGGCTGAAAATGCAAGTAACGACACATCAGCCGGAAAAATTCCATTTTAGTGCCAACTTTCCCTTTTGAAACAGACGCCTCAGATGATTCTGCTCACCTTCGATGGAGCCGTGAATCTACAGAACTACGACCACTACAAGAAGGTGCTCAATGGCAAAAGAACCAACCCCAATGGGTGTCCGATCAAGGGCACTTTCTACGTTTCTCATGAGTACAGCAACTACCAGATGATCCAGCAGTTGGCCAGCGAAGGGAATGAAATTGGCACCGAAACCATCTCGTAAGTGAATTGTTTTCCCGAGAAGAAACCGATTGGACTTCTTTCTTCGCCTACACAGGCTTCAAACAGGGCTGCAGGATAAGGGATACGAAGAATGGGTAGGAGAGATGATCGGGATGAGGGAAATCCTCAGACACTTTGCCAATATTTCCAAAAGCGAAGTGGTTGGAATGAGGGCGCCGTTCCTGAAGCCTGGCAGAAACACGCAATATAAGGTGAGTTTGAGGGTGGAAGTGGAAAAGCGACTGGTTTGAGCTCAAATTTTGCCGTTTTTGTCAGGTTTTGGAGGAGTTCGGCTATATCTACGACAGTTCTGTGGGAGTGCCAGCTTTGCCCATACCAGTCTGGCCTTATACGTTGGACTACAAAATTCCCCATGAGTGCAAATCGGGAACCTGCCCAACTAAATCGTTCCCAGGTAATTTTCCATCTCGTTTCTCCGTCGAGAGAGTGTCTTCTTCACATTTTTATAGGAGTATGGGAAGTTCCACTAAACGCCCACTTTGTGGAAGGGTTCGAAGGTGGACACTGCCCATATTTGGACCAATGTGTGCTGCACAACCACGATCCAGACGATGTTTTCCAATGGCTGCAAGAAGACTTTTCCAAGTAAATCCCTTCAACATGCCCTAAATATCCACAAAATTCTTGTTCTTCATTTCCAGATACTACGACCAGAACCGAGCTCCTTACATGATGGCGTTCCACACCAACTGGTTCTCCATCAAAGAGCTGGAAAAAGGACTGGGAAAGTTCCTGGATTGGGCCTCAAATCTGTGAGTGAGAGTTGAGGAGGAGTTTTGGAGAAAAAGCTAAAAATCTCTTTCAGCCCTGATGTGTGGTTCGTTACAACCACCCAGGCCCTCACGTGGATGACCGATCCGAAGGGCTTGAAACAATTGGACAACTACGAGCCGTGGAGTTGCAATAAAAAGGACAATCTGCCCCCAACCCCTTGCAAAACCTCAATCAAATGCGCCCTGAGCTTTAAGAAGGAGAATTTCACCGATACCAGGTATCTGGAGACTTGCAGAGATTGCCCTAATCAGTACCCTTGGTTGGGCGATGCAACTGGTTCGGGCATACCCAATAAAGACAACTACGTGCCGGATAACGTGTGATTTGTCGAACAATTGTGTGCAGGCGAGAGTGTATTTACCAAAAAAAACATTGAAAATCGCAAATAGACTTGTTTATCTTTATAATATCGTAAATTATTGTTTAACTTTAAGGATTGATCGGGCGGATTTTAGCGTCGTTCAGATGCAAATAATTAGACAGAATCCTTACCGAAACTATTTTGGGTCGTTATTATACTTAGATAAATAAATTGTTGTTGTCCCAAAAAACTGGTTTTATTTACCGATGAGCGACTCAGAATGTGAACATGTAAAAAGAGCACATAATTATATAAAGAACAAAATCGAATAATAAATTATTGGTAATCGAAGAACCTGGTTCTGATGCGAGGCTGTTCCAGCACCCTTCGACGTTGCAATTCCGACCACAAGTCGGTACCTTGAGCGGTTGCAACAGTCTCAATTTTTTTCCATCTGTCCGCCCTTTCTTGGACTTTCCTTCGAAAGAACTTCAAAATGTCTTTCTTGGAATAAACAATATCCCTAACAACGTACAGACTTGAAGGGGCCCATTTGCTCAACGCTCGCAGCAGTTTACCTGAGATCCTTAGTAGGGATCGTATACATTTCGGTAGTTTCAATAGAAACGTACGTGTATGTAAAATAAACATCATAAAACGAAGTGACGCTTCTGATCCCTATTTCGTCTCCATCGGTCAGATGGATCATTTCACATCGATCTTCATTGAAAACTGCCACTGTTCCAGTACTGATGAAGTAGACGTGATCCATCAAATCTCCACGCTGGAATTGTGTTCTGTGTGAAAACTGCTCTTGCTTCATTGGAAAAATTGGTTTTTGCCGCTCTATTCAGTGGCAAAAATTAGTTCTTTAGCTCAATTGGTTCTTGAGATTTGAGTGAAAAGATGGCCTCATGTTTGAGGGAGCTTTTTTTACTAAACCTGAGTAAAACAAAAATAGCGTCGAATGCTAATTTTCCCTTTTCACCAGATTAATGTGTTTTTTAATTGCATACCCATGAGCTGGCTGGCTCAGATGGTTACAGAGATGCATTTAATTTAAACGATTCATTATTGTTTTGTGCTTTGTGTGATAATATAGTTCTTGTTTCCATAGCCTACTACACATTTTTTATCTTCTTTTGAAGTTTTACGGCAACAAAAGGAGAAAAACATACAAACAATTAAATCGTTAAATTCAGAAAAAAATAAGCCAACTATGAATACCATTTAAAAAACCATAAGTTTATTTTTTATTAGATTTATCAAAATCTAATATTATTTTCATGTGTCAAATACTTTAGAATTATTTAAGTTATGTAAGCGTAATCTATAGTGAAGTGTAACAAGATATAATATTTTATATCCCAATGATAATAAACTTACCATTTTATACAGGGTGTCCACAAATTTAAACTAATCAAATAAGAACTTTAAGTGGCTATAACTTG